AGCCTTATTTTAAACTAAATTAATAAATCTATGACTGCAAAAGATCATTTTATATTATCTTTTTTCCGTTACATATATTTATCATCTATCATTTGCATCATAGAAAAGGTTACTCATAACCTTGTAACAATATTATAACCTTTATAAGTAAGCAGTTTATAATAAAAAGACTCATCTATTGTTCATCATTTAATTGCTAATAATAAGTGATTAATTTTTCATTTATAAAATTTTTATTCATCTTAACAGTGCAATATGTTCATATGATCAAAATAGTATGAATATATTTTAATATTTAATATTGTTGATTCCATTAAGAGATATCGATCTAAAATGCCATAAAATGATGAATGAGATAAGATGTATGACAGATCAGAGTTGAATGAATCATTCATTGGTCTAAATGAATATGAGAATTGATCAAAGATGAGATTGAATGCTATACAAATCGTTTTAGATCTGATTTGACCTGAATTTAAATAATTTCATCTACTATCACAGAATAAAATGAAAGCAGTCGTTGTGCAATCCGTTGTGGTCTAGTGGTTAGGATTTGCGGCTCTCACCCGCAAGGCCCGGGTTCGATTCCCGGCAACGGAAGCAGACGTTTTGCAATTTGTAAAATTACTATTACCGAAAAATCTTTCTCGGAAATCAAAAATACTCCAAATTTTATTATTCATTCAGGTCAAGATAAAATGTTTGAAAATATTGCTTTTGAATTAGTTTACAGTTTTAATTTATAATTTTCAATTTGTTAATTCGTGATTTTAATGCTTTAAGTAAAATTGTTAACATTACTAAAATTTAGTTTTAGAGTTGCTTGTATTAAAATAAAAAAAAAAAAACTTGTTTTTGAAGGCAATGGCAAACGAATGAATTATTTTTAAATTCTATTTGCAAGAACTATTTAGATATGATAATTTCAACTTTTCTTGATCTATTTGGATTAAAATGATCTGATCATTACGAATTTTCTATCTTTGATGGGAAAATATTTTTTGCAATTGGTAATGCATAAGAATGCAATGAAATGACACAATTCTCAGTGTTTCATTAATGTGTGTACAGTAGAAATTTGTATGAAAACGATAAAGACATTATCATCAAATAATTTAAGGAAAAATTTTTGTGGGACAGAAATGATGAAAATGGTACAATTCCGCTTTTATTATATCAGTGAATGTGTTCTGTTGTCAAATTTAAACTCTAATCTGTTATTGGAAACAATTCTTACATTCCATGTGTAAATCTCGGGAATGTTTGTAAAATAGAATGAATTTAATGGTATAAAATTTAATGCAATAAATTTAGCAAATACTTAAATTTCTAAAGTAAACTAAAATGAAAATAGTTATCAGTAAAAAAAAAAAAAAAATTCCTTTGAATAGTAAACAATAATGTAAATTTAGTGATAGAGTTGAATGTTTCAAATTTTAATGTTTATACTTTATTCTATTTGATAATTTATTTCAAATTAATAATTGCATGAAAAAAAAAAAATTTAACAAAAGAAAAAGAATGCTTAAAAAAGCGAAAATTGAAATGTGAGATTTTATTACTGTTATTTTTCGAGACAAACTAATTTTACAATTATTTCACAAATGAAATTATTATATCAGTGAAGCAAATTCATTTCTTCATTGATTGAATTAATTAAATAATTAATTAATTAATTTTTTTCCACCTGGAAAATATTTATTTGATTAAGCGTGAATGAAATGAATTACTGTTTTATTTCTCTTCCTGAAAATGCTGTTCTTTGATCTCTTCTTTTTTATTTTTATTTTTATTTTTTTTGTGGAATAATTTTTCATTTAAGAATGATTCTTGTTTGTTTCACTAAATTGATTAAATTTGATAGGAACGATTACGGTAACTTCCGTTTTACTTTTTAGCAATAGCAAATTTTTTCCCTCTCTCTCTCCCTCTCTCTCCCTCTCTCTCTCTCTCTCTCTCCGTCATTGTTTTTACCTTCTCATTTAGCTGCAATGTAAATTAAATTTAACATTTTGAAAAACATACTGCTTTTGCATGTAAAACAATATTGTAAAAAATATATTTTGTATGATTCGTTGACAATTTAATTTCAAATTTCAATTACTATTAGTATTATTGATCTAATAAAAGAAATATGATGGATATAATAGATTTTGAGTATATTTCGTTGACAGTTCTGTTGACAATTTTGTTTTGATTAAAAAAAATGCAATAATTTGGAAAGGAAATTAGTTATTTACAACTTTTTTTTTTTTATATTTTTATATATTTAGACTTTTAAATGATGTAAAAAAAATTTACAAAAAAAAAAAAAAATAGGTGTGGAAGATTTAAATTATTTTAATATAAAGTATGAAATGAATCATTGTTATTGATAATGTTCATTTAAAATTCAAATAAAATATTAAAAAAAAAAAAAAAAAGAAATATATATATTTTCCAGTTTATATGTGATATTAACATTCCAATATAAAATAATTGATAAAAAGACAGAAAAGTAAACAAAATATTAATGAAATAATATGTAATCATATTATAAAATTATGTTTTTTCAAAATTTTTATAGTGATTTTATATTTGAATTCATGAAAATTCATCATTTCTTCATAATTTCCATTTAATTATTTGTCACCCATTTTAAATAATTTTATTAAATGTCACTTTCATTTGTTTGTTGCATTGTTTACAACACAAAATAATTGTTTAAATGAGAATATTTTATCAAAAAATTTTAATTTAAAGTTTTGTTATCAAATAAACATAAACAAAACTTTTTCATACTAATACTAAATATTATAATTTATTCTTTCTTTTTTTTTTTTTTACCTAACAATTTAATTAATTTCTTCATTTATTATCAAATTTCGTATCAAAAAAAAAAAAAAAAAAATTGTTGAGCAAATCTTGCAAAAATATCCTTCGATCAGCATTGCTCCGTTAATTTCTACCTTTGTGGCGCCAATATTTGTCATTTATGGAGACAAAAAAGAAAGAAATTATTGGTTGCAATGAACTTCGAGAATAACGAGAGTAAACTTTTTTACCTTTTCTTTTTCATATATGTATAATTATGTAAAAATCATTTTAAAATTAAAAAAAGAAAAAAAGTTATACTATTAAAAATTAAAAAATTGATATCAATAAGTTAAAAATGTAATAATTTATAAGCTAAAAATATCTAATTTAAATCATTTATGTGAAATTTATATAATAGTGGCGGAAAAAAAAAGTTTATTTAATTAATATTTAAATATCAAATTTAACAACAAAAGAAAAAAGAAGAAGGGGACACTTTAATGATGACCTTGTTTTTTTGAAGGATTTAAATCATTCAATAAATGTAATAAACATTTTTCTCTGCCACTTTTCTATTTTTTATTATTTTTTTTTATTTTAAACTATCATTTATGTTTATTATAGTTTTTAATAATAACAACTCAAATGTGCATTTAAATTTTACATTTTCACTCAATAATTCATACATTTGCGCATTTTTCACATAACATTTATACTGTTTAATATTCAAAGTGACAAATGAGCATAATTAAAATTTTTTTTCTTTAAATTTTCACATTTTAGACTTAAACATTTAAATTTATTAAATTATCTAATTTCATTGATATGTGAGCTAATTTTTTCAATGCTTTAATTAATACTGTCAATGTGAAAAATAATAATAATAATAATAATAATAATAATTGAAATATCTTGAAATTAAAAATTATTAAATTTTATGATTAGAATGAAACAAAATTTTTTTGATAATCAACGAATTGTTATTATTATTATTTCAAGTGATGCAGTTAATGTCATATACAAAAATATCGAAAGATAAAAGATTCTGAGAAAGATGACAATTCAAGAATTTCAGTTTAATAATAATCAAGAAGACAGCTATCCCCATTTAAATAATCATTTGACTCAAAATTGAAATTGGAAATTGAAATAGATATGAAAAAAAGTGAGTAAATATTTTTGGAGAAATTTTTTTATATGCTATATTACACTAATTAATTTTTACTTTCAGAGATATATGTATGATTGAATTGAATCAAACTTTAAATGAATTATTCATTTTTTAATTTTATATATTTTTTAATTTTTATAAATTAACAGTTTAATCAACAAATATTGCCTCAATTATTGAATTGAAAGACTAAATTAAAAGGCTTAAAAAGCTTATATTTCAGTAATTTTTATTTCAAAACAATTTCAACTAATCTCAATTCTTTTTGTATTTATCATTAATAATACCATCATTATTACTGGTTTGCTTACCCATTCATACAAGAGAAGAACTGAATAACACAAAAATACGGGTGGGTAGAAAATGGGTAAATATCATTCATCAGTTTCACGGGTGGCAGAGAGATTTCCGCATAATAAATTGCCTTCGGTTACATCCCTTCTTTTCACTAACGAGGATTACTAACTACAATGATAATTACGATCACAAATAATCAGCTCATATCTTCTCACAAACAGAAATAAACTGTCAAAGAGGGAGAGAGAGAGAGAGAGGGAGAGAGAGAGTTAAAGGGGACAGTGTTAGAACATTGAACGAAAGTTTGTTCATCCTCAAAATTCCTTTAGAAATTTGATTTCTACACGTAATGAGAGAATGATATTGAAGACACGAAAACAAAATTCCATGAAATGCTGCTCCTCTCTGACTCCGACAACACCGCCTGAATCTCTCTGCATCACCGCCTCCGATTTTGTCGAACGAATCTGAACTAAAAGATAATAGTAGTTAGTATTTCTCCGCAACTTTTCTTCGAATACTTTCTAAGGTGTATACTTGTCACCGATGATCAGTACCGCTGTCTGTCTGTCTGTCAGCCAAGTTATGCACCATTTGCAATCAACATAAGTGTCACCAACCACTGTCAACAACAACAACAGCAATAGTAGCAGCAGCAGCAGCAGCAACAGCAGTAGCAGTAGGAAGAAGGAGCGGTAGCTGCTATACCATTACCGCCCACAAAAGTATTGTTATCATGCGATTGTCGTTGATCGCTTGTGTTGGACTCATTATCCTATCATCTTCTATTGCTTCCGCACAGGAAACTTCAGCGGAACCAACCGACGAAAATACAACTGAAAATGCGGAATTATCACCATCATCATCATCGGAATGTCATGCTAACGAAATCTTCAATGGTAAAACATGCAAATGCGCTCCTGGGTAAGTTTCCACTCATACATCGGAATAATAAAGAAATTAAATTGAATGTTGAAATAATGAACTGATCAGACTTCCTCAAATGCATTGTATACTACTAACCTGAATATCTACCCGAGAGATCTCAGTTCCCTAACAAATTAATTCCTTCCCTTAATCATTTCACACGGATATCGCAATAATAATAATAAAAAGATAATTTGATCACAATATTATGATCATCATAGATAATTTATTGCCATTTGGGCAAAGGATTGTCATCAGAAATGGATCATCTCAATTGATAAATAATGAATATTACAGTTTCGTCATGAAATCATTATCACTATTTAATGTGATGATTAAATCACTGTCAATGTTATCATTGCTTTTGCTATTGTTTATTACTATTAACAATTACTTATTATCATTATTATCATCACTACTTATTATTACTATTATCACCATCATTTAATTAATTTATTATTATTATTAATTATTATCATATTGTTATTATTGTAACTATTTTTACTAACATCATTATCACTATTATTATCATTGCTGCTACATTATTATTATTATTATTATTATTATTATTATTATTATTATTATTATTACAATTGTAAATAAGTACTTTACGGGTTGCTGTGTTCATTTTTTTTTTACTTACATTATGTAATTTAAATCTTGAATTATTACACATTATTACATTTGACAGTGCTAAAAATGTATCTTTTGTCATCATTGAAAAGTGTATTTCCATTAATTTTCATCATTTAGCAATTTCAACATTCTACCGATCGATTAATAATTTCCATTCCTTATTTATTTATTTAATTTTTTTTTTTATTTGATTTAATTAAATATTCAAATCCATTATTACTAAGGACTAATTCGATTATTTAAATGGCGAAAAACTAATGTAGCATCGTTGATAATTTAATTTTGTTTATTTAAAACATCGAATAGATCCGCTTTAAAATTTTTGAATAGTTATACTCGAATGATTGTTAATTTCTAAACGTTAATTTCTTTCACACAAAAAAAAAATGATTGCGTCAAATGTGACATTAAAATAAGCTTTTAAATCTTCAAAGTTTAATTCAAGTAATGAAGAATGACGATTACTTCAATTGTTTGACTTTGCCTTTGAAATTTTTGCAATCAATATTACAGGTGTAATCTGTTCAGGTTATTCACGATTTTTATTTACCCACAATTTGCATTGTATTTACCCAAGAGTAAGATAATACATAAGAATTAATTCTTAGAATTATTGATTTGAGAGAAATTTCACTTTTTCCTACAATGAATGTTTCACGAATTTATTTTCAGTTGCATTTATTATTGGACAAGAAAAAAAAAAAAAGAGAAAAATAAAAGGAAAAAAAAAAGTGAAAAGCGGGAAATATAAAACTTCCTTGAAAGTAATTTCGATAGGAATTTTCATTTCAGTGTAAACTTGTTTGTTTGAATTTATCAAAACTTTTTTTTTTTTCACTTTAGCAGAACCAGTTTACTTGTGATTTGTTTGTAATTGCTGCTGGTATTTTATTTCCATTCAGATAGCAAAACAAAATTCTGTATGAAATGAAAAATTTCTTTGTTTTAAAAAAAAAGCGATTATTTTGAATTAAAAATAAAAAAAATTTTTTTTTTTTTTTACACATTAAAATTAATTTTTCAAGCATATTTTAGGATAATTTTTGATAACAATAAGCCATTTTTTTCATTTGATATTAAACTATTACTTTATATTTTACCAGTAGAAATACCTTATATTTAAAATTCATGTTTAATTTAGGTTGAAAAAAGAAAAACAAGCAAACAAATAAATAAACAAATATGTTTGATGATTAATTTTAGTCCTAAATGATTTAATTAATTTGAATTTTAAGCTAAAAACTTCTATGCACATTGATGTTTGTATGTAAAAGAAAATTTTTGAAATGAAAGAGAAAAAATATATATATAATCGTTAATTATAATAATATTAATTTATGAAATTATGGAAATTTAGAAAAATATCACTCACTGAGATTAATTAATATATTTTTTTTTGTCACCGAAAGTTTTTATGATGTGACATCCTCAAGCAATGTGACATAATTTTTTTTTAAGATAGGAAAAAAGCATTATTTCATTATAAATTAGAACTTTGATTTTCGTTTTTTTATTTTTTTTTTCGTTTTTGCACTTATTTAATTAAACGATTACTTTATGTAAATTTAAAATTTTAAATTTCAATCGATTAATGAAGATTATATTCAAATATATGAATGAAATGAAATAAGCGAAAGATAAGTTTAAATTTAGAGCACTAAAGTAAATCGAAATTTTTTTTTAGATAAATATAAACGATTATTTGTGAGTTTTCTTTTCAAATGATTTATTTCAAAATTGATCCATCTAATTTTAATGATAGATTAATTACATAGTTTGATTGAAAATGAATACCATAGGAGAGGAATCTCTTCTTTCTCTCTCTCTCCCTCTTTCTCTCTCTCTCTTTCATGAAATTCTACTACAATAATTACGTCATATGATGACAACTATTTTAAAATATGAATTGCAAAGTGCAAATTTTGTCAATTGAGAGCATTTGATGATCATATAATTGAGAATTAATTTTCTAATCATTATAAAATATTTATTTCTTTCTATTTATCAAAAAATTTAAGATAATAAAAGTTTATTCATTTAAAATTGTAAATTTTCTCTACAAATTTGTCAATTTTTTTAATGTTTGTAATAACAATGATACTTTGAGCAAAAATTAAAATACAATTAATTTTTGCTTTCATTTTCATTTTTTTTTTTTTAAAATATATTTTATTTATTTTTTGGGTCAATTATCATTTCAGAGCAAATTTCTAACTAATACAAATAACGAAAAGATTTTTATATGTGTCAACTATTTATTACAAATCGTTCTAAATCACAGCACAAATCCTTTTATTATCATTTCTCTTACAAATTAATCATTTATGATTGAAAAGTTGAATTTATGATATATTTAATCAGTTAGATTAAAAGATTTAATAATCACACTAATTACAATGATATTATCAACGAATGATAATTAATAGCTAATAAATAGAATTTATAAAATAATAAAACCGAATTGTTTTGATTTAAACTGAAATTATGAGTAATTTTAAAAAATAAAATAGTGTTAAATGCATTATCATTTTAAAAAAGTAACAATAAAAAAAGAAAACTCAATGAATGATTTATAGGTATTTTATGAAATCAGATAAAGAATCAAAGTTGCGATGTGAAGATGAATGTGAAGAAGTTTACTTCACGTTTTTCACGTACGGTGCATGCGTGAATGATATTTACGGACGTTTACCAAAGAATGCACAATCACAGTGTAATTTACGGTATTGTATTTTCTTATTGAAAATTCAATCAAATTAATTTATTCATTCTTAAATGTATGAATCAAATCTATTTGCAATTTTAATTTTTTAATTATAAATTTTTTATTTGAATTATTATTGCAAAAATTTGCATATTGTCTTTGTATATTTATCTTAGAAGAATGATTGAATTCTTTTAATTAGAATTCATCCTTAATGTCTAATATGCGTAAAGAAGAAATTAATAGAAAAAAAAAATCAAAATTTTAAATTTAATAGAGTGAAATATTTTTCATACATACAGACTGTAATATTCCACGTGTTGCTTTACGTCAGATCACGCATAGATTAATGAATAGATCTAATCCGAATAGATTTACTAATACATATTAAATAAATTCGAATAGATTTACTAATGGATATTAATTAAATTCGAATAGATTTACTAATATATATTAAATAAATTCGAATAGATTTACTAATGGATATTAATTAAATTCGAATAGATTTACTAATAGATATTAAATAAATTCGAATAGATTTACTAATAGATATTAAATAAATTCGAATAGATTTACTAATGGATATTAATTAAATTCGAATAGATTTACTAATATATATTAAATAAATTCGAATAGATTTACTAATGGATATTAATTAAATTCGAATAGATTTACTAATATATATTAAATAAATTCGAATAGATTTACTAATGGATATTAATTAAATTCGAATAGATTTACTAATATATATTAAATAAATTCGAATAGATTTACTAATGGATATTAATTAAATTCGAATAGATTTACTAATATATATTAAATAAATTCGAATAGATTTACTAATGGATATTAATTAAATTCGAATAGATTTACTAATAGATATTAAATAAATTCGAATAGATTTACTAATAGATATTAAATAAATTCGAATAGATTTACTAATAGATATTAAATAAATTCGAATAGATTTACTAATAGATATTAAATAAATTCAGATAGATTTACTAATAGATATTAAATAAATTCGAATAGATTTACTAATAGATATTAAATAAATTCAAATAGATTTACTAATGGATATTAAATAAATTCGAATAGATTTACTAATATATATTAAATAAATTCGAATAGATTTACTAATGGATATTAATTAAATTCGAATAGATTTACTAATATATATTAAATAAATTCGAATAGATTTACTAATGGATATTAATTAAATTCGAATAGATTTACTAATATATATTAAATAAATTCGAATAGATTTACTAATATATATTAAATAAATTCGAATAGATTTACTAATGGATATTAATTAAATTCGAATAGATTTACTAATGGATATTAATTAAATTCGAATAGATTTACTAATAGATATTAAATAAATTCGAATAGATTTACTAATAGATATTAAATAAATTCGAATAGATTTACTAATAGATATTAAATAAATTCGAATAGATTTACTAATAGATATTAAATAAATTCAGATAGATTTACTAATAGATATTAAATAAATTCGAATAGATTTACTAATAGATATTAAATAAATTCAGATAGATTTACTAATAGATATTAAATAAATTCGAATAGATTTACTAATAGATATTAAATAAATTCAAATAGATTTACTAATGGATATTAAATAAATTCGAATAGATTTACTAATAGATATTAAATAAATTCGAATAGATTTACTAATAGATATTAAATAAATTCAAATAGATTTACTAATGGATATTAAATAAATTCGAATAGATTTACTAATATATATTAAATAAATTCGAATAGATTTACTAATGGATATTAATTAAATTCGAATAGATTTACTAATATATATTAAATAAATTCGAATAGATTTACTAATGGATATTAATTAAATTCGAATAGATTTACTAATATATATTAAATAAATTCGAATAGATTTACTAATGGATATTAATTAAATTCGAATAGATTTACTAATAGATATTAAATAAATTCGAATAGATTTACTAATAGATATTAAATAAATTCGAATAGATTTACTAATAGATATTAAATAAATTCGAATAGATTTACTAATAGATATTAAATAAATTCAGATAGATTTACTAATAGATATTAAATAAATTCGAATAGATTTACTAATAGATATTAAATAAATTCAAATAGATTTACTAATGGATATTAATTAAATTCGAATAGATTTACTAATATATATTAAATAAATTCGAATAGATTTACTAATAGATATTAAATAAATTCGAATAGATTTACTAATAGATATTAAATAAATTCAAATAGATTTACTAATGGATATTAAATAAATTCGAATAGATTTACTAATAGATATTAAATAAATTCGAATAGATTTACTAATAGATATTAAATAAATTCGAATAGATTTACTAATAGATATTAAATAAATTCAAATAGATTTACTAATGGATATTAAATAAATTCGAATAGATTTACTAATAGATATTAAATAAATTCGAATAGATTTACTAATAGATATTAAAGCAAATGGTATTCTAAGTTTTTTAAATTTAAATTGCAGAAATAATTTAATAAAAAAAAAAAAAACAAATTACTAACACTTTTTTTGTCCTATGAATAATATTTGTTTAAATGATTCATCATATTGAATTAATTTTAAAGATTTATTTTAAAATTTTAAAATCTAAAGTGAATAATAGGAAATTGAAATTAAAGAATTTTTTTTAAAGAAATTTAATTGACAAACATTTCATACTTTATTTATCATTATTTTTTACTTGTAATATCAGCATTCTAATATGAGCTAATTAATTCTTTAAAATTCCCTTTAAAAAATGAAGAAAAAAAAAATGCAAATAAAACAATTTTAATTACAATTAACAAATTAATAGATAATTTTATATATTCCATTTTATGCCAATAATCAGTATTACTTTAATAAATATTTTGTTTACTAATAATTCTAGGTTTTTTTGTTTATAGAAAGTGTCTTATAGAAAGAAATTTTATTTTTGAAAAATTCATAAATTTTAAATTGAAAAAGTTATAAATTTAAAAACCAAACATACTTACTGCTAGATATTATTATTATTATTTAGCTGTCTTAATTTACTTAAGTAATTGCATATTTACGGACAAATTATCATTGTTATAACTTCAATTATTGACATCTAATTAATCCGTAACTTTTCAATTTTTTTTTTTTTAAATTTTAATTTTACTCCCAAAAAAAAAAAAAAAAAAAAAAAAAAAAATTTATGAAATGAAATTATTGAAGATGTGGCATGAGAATTCGTACTTTGGCATCCATTGGTATCTTTTTGACATTTGCTGCAGCACTTGCAACTCTTATCTTTACCTTACCTCTTTGTGTCACCACCTGTTTGTCATGTTTAAATGCGCGAAAGGTTTGTTTATTTGTTTATTTTTTTTTTTTTTTTAATCATTTTAATATATAATTTTTAGAAACATTTCATTAATAATAACTGTATCATTTTCAATTTCTTATCATTTTTTAATCATTTATTCAATAAATGATTTCTTTCTTAGATATTTACAATAAGTTATTAAACACTTATTACTTGTTTATGTTAAAGAAAAATCTTTTTTTTTTTTTAAATTTTTAAATTTTTGTTATTATTATTAAAATTTGGATCAAATTATTATTAATATTTCTGTTAATGTTTGAATTCTTTTTTTTTTTTTTTTTTTGTTTTATCTTTAATCAATTGACACAATTGTTTTATCATTACTAAAAAATTTTTGAAATATTTGCAATTTTGTTTTTATAACAAAAATTCATTTTTTTACATTTTCATTTATCTTTTTTTTTTTTTTTTCTTTTTTAAAATGAAAAATGAACATAAATGTGGAACATTTTACCAAAACTAGAAAATGCTATCTTTTTTTTAAATTTTTATTTTACCCAAAAATGTTGCATTACGACAATTAGCAATCATTCGTATAAGAAATTTAGCAAATTTTATGGATTTTTTTTATGCTAACATAAAATTATAAAACAAATTTATTTTCTTTTTTTTTTTTTTTGTTTTCAAATTTTCATTGAATTTATCATTTATATTTGAAAAAAAATAAGAAATAAATAAATAGCAGATAATAATGAATAATAAATATTTTTAAACATTTATTTTATTAAAAAAAGAATTTTTAGTATTACTTTATAATTTTATATTTTCCAAAATTTGCATATTTATCAAATAAAAAGAAATTTTATGAAGGAATTTCAATTAGTTGCAACATTACATTAAACCATTTTTTTTTCTTAAAGTATTATTGTTTGGAAACCGTTTATCATTTTATCTTATCAGTTGTAGTGATTAATGATAAAATGCATGAAGTATTAACAACATTTCATGGGTGACAAATAAATTATTTATGAAAAATGTCACATAGACTCGGTTCACTCTAAAATTGAAAGAATTTTTAATGATTATTCTCAGATTTAAATATTTAACAAATCTGACAATCACTTTTATATTTTATTTCTTATTTTAATGCTTAGTTTATATTTTTAAAAAAAAGAGATACCATTATATTTCGGGTTTTTAAAATCTGATAACAATCATTAAGTAATATATTTTATTTCCTTTTCTCGATGTTTTTTTTTTTTTAAAAAAAAAAAACTCGTTTTGATTTTTTATTTATACTTTAAGATAGGAAAATAAACTGAGAGAGAGAGAGAGGTAAAGAGGAAAACGAACAAAGAATGATATAGCAGGAATGGTTGAAGTATGATGCAAAGATCATTTTTATTCATTCCCGTTTTTTTTTTTTTTTTTAATTTAATTCAAATTTAAAAAATTCTCTGACTAGTTTTTATTTTTTTCCAATAAATATATTAGTCATTAAAATTTATTTATATAAAGCTTTATCAATAAGCATAAAACAAATAACAATTAATAGTTTACTCATTACTTAAACTATATATTATTATTTTGTTTTTTTTAAATTCATTTTTTAAAAATTATTTTTAGGCTAATAAAACAGCAAAACGAGTTTTTATTGAGGCTCAAAATCAGCCATACAAGGAGCAACAACTTCAAACTCTTCCATATAATCCATATGCTTATTGGCCATATTATGGACGAGCATGAAAATGAGCCTAGTCGATTAATTAATTGTTTAAATCATATACGATTATTATACTATTCCACATTAACTTTACTACTACTTGTGATACTGTATGCCAGAAATGATGTGATAATAGACTGGTCATAAAAAATAGGTTGACAATTTACTAGTATCAAATTGTCATCTCATTGGCCAAAACCTCATGTACACACAGACATATATATTTGTTGGCTCTTAGTATAAACAATAATTGTCATTCATTGAAATTTAAAAAAAAAAAACAAAAAACAAAACAAAAATACTAATTATATATGCTCAAATATTATGCTTTCTTGTAATTTTCGATTTGCATTATTATTATTTTTTTTCCATTTTTTACAATTGTAATTAACAAATTAAATTTTTTGAAAGAATTGTAAATTTGAAAAGTAAATTAAATAATTTTCATGTAATCCTCGTATTTTAGCGTTCATTATTCTTCCACTTTTTTTTTTTTTTTTTTAAAAAAAAAAGAAGAAATGTAAAAATTAAATTAAATATCTCTGCTTGTGTCATAAAGTATTACTTGTAGAAATATTGGAAAAAAAAATTTTTTTGTTTTTTTGAAATCAATCATTTCAATTCGATTTTGATATTAGCAATAGTTGCAGTAACAATTAAATAAACTTTTTAGTTAGATGAACCAAAAAAAAAAAAAGAATAGAAATGTAAAATTCTTGATTAAACTTAATTTAATTTACTTTTTTACTCTCAATTTACTTTTACTCTTTATTTTGCTGCTACTAAATTTAAAAATTTTTAGAATTATGTATAAATAAAATCCACGTATCTTACTTCCTTTCACGTATTTACCTTTCCTGAAATTGTATAAATTATATTTTAAAAAGTAAGAGAGATACTGCTACTATTTGTTAAAATAATTGAGAAATGAAAATTGTTAACATTTCTTATAAGAAGGAAACAAAATAACCATATTTTAACATTTAACTTTAACTTATGCATTCGTTCGTTAAAATGAAACATTTCCGATTTAACGATTAATCAGGAATGTGTACCGGATTTGAAATAAATGAAATAGCAATTTTATGTGATAAGATGAAATGATAACGTTTTTAGAAAGTTTTTTTTTTTTTTCTTATTTGGAATGAAATGAATGTTTAAAGTCGCTAAAAACATGTTTTCAATCTTTTTTTTTTTTTCTTCCATCCAAATAATTTTTAAAAGATGGAAATGAAAGATAGTAAAACGATGCGATTTTCTTGATGAATTAAATTATTTATTTATTTAATTAATTTCTAATTATTATTTACTAAATGTAAAGCACATAATTTGCATAATTTTCATTTTATCTAACTTTTAACAATTAGCTATACTTACTTAACTAGCAGACATAAAGAAATAAAATAACTGAAATTTCTATTAAACTTTGACCTTTTACTTACTTACTTACTTACTTACTGCTCATCTCACTGTTGCATAGAAATCGATGAAAGTAAAGTTGCATTTTTATCAATTAAACAACATAATCTATTCGTATTTACCTGTACAGGTAAACAATAGAAACCTAATTAAGCTCAAAAGAAGAAAAAAAAATTGTATAAATTAACATTCGAATTCCATTTGAATTCCACTCTCTGCCAATCAATAATTCCATTTTTTTTTTGATTAATGTTTTTAATCTGTAGTGACATAGAATAACCTAAAAATTTTGATTTGTTTTCATCAATTATTTTAATCAATTCAATAAATTTCTCTAAAATATTAATCAATTCAAGAAATCGTATATTTATTAAAAGTTCAACAAAAATTGAAATTGGGTCAAATATCGATTGAAACTGCTCAATGAGAACAAAAATTCAAATTGGAACAACATTGATGCTCAATAATAGAAGAACAAATTATTGAAATTGAAAAATTTAATAAAAAAGTTAACTAACTCATTTGAATATGAAATATTGCAAATAAAATAAATATTTTATTGTGTAAAAATTTTAATTGTAAACATTGAATCAAAATTCAAAATTTTATTTACTAAAAGTTAGCTAATGCTATTAACGACTATTAGCAATATTAGCAATTTAAAAATGAATTTCAGAAATTCATAAAAACTGATTAAGTATATTATAATCAATGATTAAGAATGAATTAAGTATACTTTATCTATGCTATCATTTTTTTTTTTTCTTTTTTATTTATTTTTCTTTTTTTTGTTTACTCATTTTTCTAATAATTAATGATTATTTTATCTTTAATTTATCACTCATTTCCATCTAATTTTTTTTTCCTCTTTGTGCAGTTAAAATTTGTAATAATTTTTTGATAAAAATTATTCAAATTCAAACGAGAAATAAATAAATCGCAAATTTTCTCATATAGCACATAGATATAAATAAAATCTTTAAAACAATGCCATTTTTTTTTTCTTTTTCTAATTTCAGAATTAATAGTTTAAAATTTCAGATCAATTTAACATAATCATTTAACATATTTTAGAATAAATTATATAGTGCACTATAAATATTAAAAGTTATTAAGTATTAAAATTAAAATAACGCTGCTATGAAATTTGTAAAATAATTTGATTAAAAGAAATAAAAATATTAATATACGACTTTGTTTTAATTTCAGGTTTTCAAGGTACTAACATATTTTATAATAGTGTTTAAAAGAAAAAAAATGCAATATATATTGAAATTTTAGTTAGGATCAATTTAACATTTATTAATTGCTAAATATTATTAAATCTTAAAATTAAACATTGTAAATGATCAGGTAAGCTATCAAATCAAGGTGTAACAGGTGAGATAATTAAATATACCTGATAAACTACTTGGTAAATTTAGCAGAAAATATTCAGAAAATTTTCGGGAAATTTTTCGGATATGTTAAAATTCATGCGAAATTTTTTTGCTGTGTTTTGTTCATCAATGCAACATTTCCGTACGTAGTAAGTAATTTTATCAGTATTATAATCCGGAAAATTCATTAGAAAATGCAATGTTATAGTTGTCAGTTACAAGAACAATTGAATAAGTTATTTGTATTGTTTTATGTAAATTTGAAAAAAAAAAAAGAAGAAAATTCAATGTTAAAAAAATATGCATTAAATACAAATTAAAAAAAAAAAAAATGAAAATATTTATATGTTAAAAAAATATACATTAAATACAAATTAAAATAAACAATAATAATGAATAAATTATTTATTTGTGATAAAGAATGGATGGAAAGAGAAATAAATATCTAAAATATTGTTTAGATGGAATAAAATGTTAAAAAGAAACAAAATTAAATTAGAGTAATAGATTAGAACTTCTAAAATTTATGAAAAAATATTTGAAAATTTTGTTTAATTAAAATTTAATCTTATAGTATTCATAGCTTAAATGAAATTATAATGATAAATGTTTGTGAAAAATTAATAATTATCAATTTAATTTGAATTATTCAAATGTTGGTTAGACAGAATCATTTCATATACAATAGGTACTAAAAATTCAAATACAATGTAATTACTAATTAAAATTATATTTCGGAAAAAGAAAAAAATTTTTAAATAAATGAGAATTAATCTAGAAAATTTTATGATAAAGGAAATTTTGAACCTGAATGTTAAACGGATAGCAATCGGATATTCAATCAACCGGATATCTTATGTAAAGTTAGTTGTGAAAAAAATTTTATTGAAAACGAAAAATGAAAAATGATGTGAAAAATTTTCTCTAAGACTTTTTAGGTATAATTTTAAAAGTTTTTCTTAAGTTAAAAGAGAGAGAGAGAGAAGAAAATTAGAAAATAGAAAATGAAAGAAACTATTAAATCATAATAAAGATCACTGAAAAAAAAAAAAAAAAAAAGGAAATTCCTGAATGATCGGATTTATTTGATTGATTTGTATCTCTTATCACATTAATAATTGTCATCCAAAATTTGATAAAACATTTATTCCGGTTTATTCCTTATCCTGTATTCATTATCAGGAATTATAGTGATCCAATTAATATGCAATAATAATTTCAAAATTAAAACTTATCATCATTACAAAGAAACTATAATCATTTCATTAATTCATAAATATGTTTCAAATATAAATAATTAGAATATTAATTCAATTCAAATGTTTGAAGTTTATTTTACACAACAATTTAAAATATTTGAAATTTTGCTGCTGTTTTTTTTTTTTTTAGAATCAAAGAAAAAAAACATCCAAAATGCAATCAGTGTTTTTTTTTTTTTTTTTCTTAGCATGAAAATGCCATAAAATGATTGAAATCACTTCTTTTTCCATCAAAAAAAAAAAAGAAAGAAAGAAGAAGAGGAAGGATTGCAATGAGTTTTAACACTTTAGGGAGCACTGATCAAAGAGTTTAATTTTAAAGCTTAAAAAGCATCAAATTAAAATGGAAATTCTCAAGAGAATGAAAATAGACAAACATTTTTGGTATCCAAAGAATATATATGATAGAATCAACAAAATAGCTGCTGCTATTTTCTATTTCTTTTCACAATCACTATGGCATTATCATTTTTCATGAAAATACTTTTTGTTTTTTTTTTTTTTTTTTGTTCCATTCCCAATAAGCTTATTCAAAAAAATATTTCAAATTTTGAATTACTAAATGAAGAAAATTGTATATTTTTTAAGCATTTTAACAATAGCTAACAAATAAATCAATAATGTATATTTTGCTATAAAAAATTCTTGAAATGACTTATAAATAAATATTCAAAAAGCATTTTATAATTATAAATTTGTCCAATTGATGGATTAATTATCTTTTTTTTTTTTTTTTTTTTTGCCACTTGATTTATTGATAATTTGAATTAATACTACCATATGTTACTTAAATAGAATTCTTACTTGTAAGTAAAATATACACTCTTTTTCAGTACTTTTATACGATTAAACTTTAACATTTCATTTTTTCTAAAATTAGCTAAAATTAGATTTAAAAAATTAAGAGAAAAAGAAAAAGAATTTTGTGGATTTTTAACATTATAAAATTTAAAAAATTGAATCATTTAATTTTTTCTAAACATCAAAATGTTGGGCAAAAAAAAAAAAAAAAAAAAAAACGAAGATCAATAATAGTATAGAAATCACTAGTGAATATTCTATCAAAATATAGGAGGAGTTAGACTGATTGTCTCTGGTGAGTAATTGACAAATTTTGGACTTAAATTCTAGGCTTAGTTCTGATTGCATCTCTTCAAATTGGTTCATAGAAACGAGTATGATCGAAATGAATTTCAAAATTTCTAATACTACTCTAATATTTGCATCTATCAGAATCAGTACAAATGTTTTGATCAAATTGAAGAATATTCAAAAGCAAATGGTTTGTATTTTCATTAAAATATTTATTAAAAAAAAAATAATAATAATAATAATGGAATTAAATTAATTCAATTTGTAAAAAAAACGATGAAAAATGTCCTCAAATTTTTGATTAAAATTGGATTAAAAAACATTTTCTTCAAATATTAAAAATGGAATATTTTTTTAAAAAAAACAATATTTTAACTTTTGTTAAAAATTGTTTTTGTTTTTTTCTTTTTATTTTTTAACTTAATTTTCAAGTTTTATCAATGTGAAATACCTAGAATAGTTAGACTAATAAAAGTAGAAGAAAATTTTTTACACAACTAATCTTCATGTAACTCATTCATGATGAAAAAAAATGTCATTTATCTTTTACGTCCACTGATATGGAAAATTTATTGTGGTTATGGATAAACAATTCATTCATTTCCATTTCGATCTTTCCACAAAAATCTTAGCCAATGATCAATAATTTCGTTTTTTTTTTTTTTTTTTTTTTTTTTTTTTAGCAAATTGAAAAATATCTTTTAAGCTTATAAATATTTGTTACATTTTTTCAAACACTGTTAAAATCTACTGGAAAATTGTATAACATTGAATTATTATAAATTTATAATTTTAAAAAATTCATGCAAGAAGCAGAAATGTTTACTTCTAATTTCTTCATTTGTCTACTACATAATAATGATGTAAAAAGGAAAAAGGAAGTAGAGTCTCTACTAAATTGTAATCATAAGTTAATTTGCGCTTTCATACGGATCTCAGTAATTTTATGATTTGCTAGTTAGTTGTATGGGATGACACATCATATAAAGATGACAAGCTTGTAGAAAAATGAAATTATATGTCAAATTTTAAGAAATTATAATGGTATAATAGAAGTGAATGAATTAAACTAGATACTATGACACGTAGAAAATACTTTTTGCATTGGACAGATAACATGGAAGTAAACAAAGATGAAGTAAACAAAGGTGAAGTAAACAAAGGTAATAGGCCTGCATTACAAAATATATTGCTATAATTGCTCTGATGAATAGCTACTAACTGCGCCTCTACTTCCCTTATTATTAGTAATAGTAGTAGAAATGCTAGTAGAAATACTTTTTGCATTGGACACACTAATTTGTGATGGACAAATTTGACGTAAGTATGGGGTGGGTAGGGTAGAGGGAAGGGGAGGGTAGAGGGATGACAAAATTTATTCAACGGTTCAAATGTCTGTTTCGGATATAAGACAAGCTTACTTAACCACTTCCTCTTTTTACTTCCCAAATTGTTAGCTTTAAATTTTATGCCAACTATCTCTTATTGTTAGCCATTGTTGATTACAATTCAAGTGTCACTTGAATTGATGAATTAGAGTAATGTAATAATTTATGCTTTCCTCTCTTCCCTACCACACTTTAGCTTTAATTTATGTAAAATTAAGCTTCTACTTACACAGTTCAACATTTTCTATTACATGCTAGCATTAAAAGTAAATTTTAATTATAAATATTTCATTGCTTATAAACATAAACATACATCACTAAACTAAATTGTGTGTAAAATTTTCCTCAATTAGTCATTTTGAAATAGATATGTGGAAAAAGAATCAATGATAAAAAGAGACATATAAATTTAAAAAGTAGTTTAATCTAAAAAAAAAAAAGAAAACTATAGGAATATTAGTGAACTAATTTTGATTACAAAGAAAGAAAAAAAAAATCATTCATTTTTAGAATTTAGAAATTGAAACTCGAGAATAAACAATTATACTAACAGAATTTAAAACAAATTATTATTATTATTTTTTTTTTTTAAAAATAAAACTTAATTGTATCAGTTAAATTTTTTTCTTTCTTTTTCATTTAATTACAACGTAACAAAAATGATTCAATAAATTTAAATCTTTTTATGCTAATTCTATAAATATATGATTGATTTCTCGATAAAATTTCTAATTTAAATTTTTATATTAACTAATAAAAATTTTTTTTTTTTTAAAAAAAAAATGCTTCATAACTAATATCTCTCTCTCTCTCTCTCTCTCTCTCTTATTCCTTCTAAATTAGCTATCCAAAAATTAGATTGCAAATTGTCATGAAATTTCAATCAATATAACAATCCCTGATGCATCATTAGCAATTTCTGGTTGAATGAATGATTAGCATAACGAATCAAAAAGTGTTCCTTCTCCTTCTCCTCCTCCTTCTCCTTCTCCTTCTCCTCCTCCTTCTCCTTCTCCTTCTCCTTCTCCTTCTCCTTCTCCTTCTCCTTCTCCTTCTCCTTCTCCTTCTCCTTCTCCTTCTCCTTCTCCTTCTCCTCCTCCTTCTCCTTCTCCTTCTCCTTCTCCTTCTCCTTCTCCTTCTCCTTCTCCTTCTCCTTCTCCTTCTCCTTCTCCTTCTCCTTCTCCTTCTCCTTCTCCTTCTCCTTCTCCTTCTCCTTCTCCTTCTCCTTCTCCTTCTCCTTCTCCTTCTCCTTCTCCTTCTCCTTCTCCTTCTCCTTCTCCTTTTTTTTTTTTTTTTTTTTTTTTTTTTTTTTTTTTCCTTCTCCTTCTCCTTCTCCTTCTCCTTCTCCTTCTCCTTCTCCTTCTCCTTCTCCTTCTTCTCCTTCTTCTCTTTTCATTCATTTCAATCATTTCATCAGTTCAACATTACAAATTGCTTTGTTGTACAGCTCTGTCTCTTATATCTTTTTCCTTTTCACTCATTTCTGTTTCTCTTTGTTAAAATTTGAGTAAACAGTGGTTGAAGCTAAGCTAAGCTAAGCTAAACTAAACTAAGCTAAGCTATCATTCTTATTAGCTAAATCAGAAAGAACCCACACATTTTACACTGATCGAATATACAAATAGCTTTTAACTATTGTTTGCTTCATTTACCGCTCCGCACCGCTCCGATAAGCTAAGCTGTAGCAGTAGTAATAGTAGTGGTAGTAGCCAGCAGCAGCAGCAACAGCAGTAGTAGTGATAGTAATAGTTTCAACAGCAACATGCGGTTTTTTCACAAATAGCTAAAAGTGACACTACCGCCTCGCTCTGATAAACTTGCTGGAGCATTAGCTGTAGCAGCAGTGGTAGTAGTAGCTATAGCAGTACGGGCGGTTCTTTCACAAATAGCTGAAAGTGACACTACCGCCTCGCTCTGATAAACTTGCTGTAGCATTAGCTGTAGCAGCAGTGGTAGTAGTAGTTATAGCAGTAGTAGTGGTAGCAGTAGTAGTAACGGGCGGTTCTTTCACAAATAGCTGAGACTGACACTACCGCTCCATTTTTCTCGCAACCTTACAACATTACCATCCATCCATTCATTCATTCATTCATTCATCCATTCATTCATTCATTCATTCATTCATTCATTCATTCATTCATTCATTCATCCATTCATTCGTTCATTCATTCATTCATTCATTCATTCATTCATCCATTCATTCATTCATTCATTCATTCATTCATTCATCCATTCATTCATTCATTCATTCATTCATTCATTCATTCATTCATTCATTCATTCATTCATTCATTCATTCATTCATTCATTCATTCATCATTCATTCATTCATTCATTCATTCATTCATTCATTCATTCATTCATTCATTCATTCATTCATTCATCCATTCATTCATTCATTCATTCATTCATTCCATTCATTCATTCATTCATTCATTCATTCATTCATTCATTCCATTCATTCATTCATTCATTCATTCATTCATTCATTCCATTCATTCATTCATTCATTCATCCATCCATCCATTCATTCATTCATCCATCCATTCATTCATTCATTCATTCATTCATTCATTCATTCATCCATTCATTCATTCATTCATTCATTCATTCATTCATTCATTCATCCATTCATTCATTCATTCATTCATTCATTCCATTCATTCATTCATTCATTCATCCATCCATCCATTCATTCATTCATTCATTCATTCATTCTATTCATTCATTCATTCATCCATCCATTCATTCATTCATTCATCCATCCATTCATTCATTCATTCATTCATTCATTCATTCATTCATTCATCCATCTTTCACGACAACAATGTTATTACTATTATTATTCCCGCATTTTCATATGAAAATATTTGCTAATAATTGTTAATTTGATATCAAATAGTATATAATTGTTTGAAACAAATCTTTCATTTCATTTCTGTTGTAGTAAAATTTTGATAATAATTGTGTTTATACTTTGCTTTCTAATGTTTGCTAATTATCTCAATTGAAGATGCTCTTCACACAACATAACTTTCTCTCTCTCTCTCTCTCTCTCTCTTATTTTATCCCTCTAAAAGTTCTTAACACTCTTGACGAGAATAGCTATTATCGTTGTTATTATCACTCTTGAGATCTATGAATCACTTCTTTATCACTATTCTCATACATTTTCTCGTAGGCGTTTTTATTACGTCTAAGGTATACATTGATGTGCTTCTAATTTATCTATTTGCTTGCTTCTATAATAAATTTCAAAATATTTCATTCTATGTCGAAAAGATGGCTTTCAAAATTTGTGTATATATGATGAAATTAAGATAAGAAAAGATGAGCTAAAGTGAGAAAAAGCACATTCTTACACAACACAAATGCTCTCATCTTTCATCACTTTTCATCGAGATTCTCACGTGAACGTAACACGCATTTACACTTGTAAACATGAGATACACTTATCCAATGGAATTACGTTAAACTATACGTCAACTGATCTCTTCCAATGCTTATCATTTAAGTTTTATCAATAATGTTTGAACAAGAAATTGATTCTTACCTTTAAGATGAATGTTTGAACTTCTTGGATACTACAATTTTCGTAGCGTGTATGATGGCCATCTGAAAGTGAAGCATGAGCGAGCATCTTTCAGGTGTGTGTAAATTCAGTTGACGTGTTCTTACTTCCGTGTTCACTTCTAGCTATAAGCTTTCGAGAAGTACTCGATAGAATTGTATGTGTGTTAGCTTCACGTATTGATACGTCTTTATAGTTCTGAAGATCAGTACGTATGCTATTTGATGCTCTTTGTACCATCTAATTTTCATCTAATTTTTTCCATTTTTCTTTCAACTTTTGGTCTCAATAATTTTATCTGAAAATTTTGTGATACATTAGTAGCAACTTCATATAAGTGATCTAATGAGGAATAATATAATTTGAATATTTTCGCATGACACGATGTCATGCTTATTCATATATGTTCACTTTTTTTCACGCTACTCATCAAGTTTTTCCTACAATTTTTGTATTTCTTTTTATGTGATGATGATACAGTAACTATTATATTTGTGAGCTAATACTGTCTGTCATTTTAAAAATCTATCTACTCGTTGTAGAATTTATTATCCATGCATAATCATTAATTTAATCATATTGTTGTACGATACATTTCTAAACTATTTAAAATAAATGAATAGTGACGATAATTTTATTCTCAAGTAATGGTTATAAATTTTTGTAGTTCCGATATAGCTGGCCAGTTTTATCGAAATTTATTTTGCTTGGTTATATATACATATTAAAAAAACGGTTGATGTGAAGAGAGGAAAAATGAAATGAATCTTAGTGTATAGTTTCATTTAAAGTTAAAATTCATTTCGATAAAGTAATGTGGTCAGATTTGACTGATGGCAATAACGAATGTTGAGAAAGAGATGATATCAAATTTGAAATATAACCATACAACGATTTTCTTAAACAATACTGCTGCTAAGAAGTGAAATCAGTTGTCAGCTGATTACTGATATGTCTGAGGTGATTCATCACTTCATCACACTGGCACCTTACATCCGCTTTCTCTTCCTGCCCGGTAGATTTCTACGAATGTAGTGTGTGATAGTGGATTTTATCATCACTTGGATTTTAATATAGTTTATAAGTTTAATATGGAAATTGTCATTTGTATTGTTTGAGGTCATTTTAAAATATTTACAAATATGTGGAAATTTGTGAAATATGTGTAAAATTGAAGTGATTATTATCTTACAAAAATGTATTATTTGTTTTGTATTTGCAAAATGAACCAGAAAAATCCATGAAATTTTAGCATAAATATCGTGCTTTGTTATCAATATACGTGTTATAGTACCATCGGTTTAAACATTTCCACTTGCAGACATCGAGGTTGCCGAGCAGCAACTGCGGGCCGTTTGTACAGAAGAAGCTAAAATAAGAATTAAGCGAAGGCAATGGGTGTAATAACGTTAAACGTAATTTGGTCACCGCAGGGAGACGAACAATCCCAATTGAAGAAGGCAATGCAGTTCGAATCGACTACTCTTGTTTTCGATGCATGTAAAATTATCCGAGAAAAAGTATCCGGAAATAATATTAACCGTAAGTCTTTTTTTTTTTCTTCCCAAAAAGCTTGTTTCCATTTCTTTTTCAATAATGTTTCTGAGAATTTATAAATTATTATAAATAATGATTCATCAAAGAGAGATTTTTCTTCAGTTTACCCCAAACTGAAACTCTATTCTTTTTTATCAATATTTCCATAAATCTTTAGCTATTTTCAGCTAAGGAATATGGTCTATTTCGGCTCGAAGAAGATCCAACTAAATGTGTTTGGATGGAAAATGGTCGAACTTTAGAATATTATTTAGTTCGCAGCGGAGTAAGTTTACCATAGAATAGAATGGTCGTCGTTTGATAGTATTCGAATTATTTGATTGCTTAATGAAGCATTCTCCACTGCAAGTAATAGCAAAATAGATTTTTTTAGGACACAGTTGAATATAAAAAGAAAATTCGACCACTAAAAGTGAGAATGTTGGATGGTGCTGTGAAAACAGTAATGGTAGATGAAAGTCAGCCAGTGGGTGAAATAATGGTCGTTGTATGTTCCAAAATTGGTATTAGCAATCATGAAGAATATTCAATGGTTAGCAAAAATTTCTTTAATATTTGCGTGTTATGTACAGCGTTAAATGCGGAACTTATCTCAGCAAGTACAAAATTTCTCTTTTTGAGGATTCTTCGACATATTGGGCTTCAGGTGCGTCAATCGTTGGACCAGGATTGGCGTTCAACACTTACGCTAAAGGAAGAAAGAAGAATGAAAAGCGAGGAGCGTGGTCTTGGTTTCGGCACGCTTGGACGAAATAAAGAAAAAAAAATGGAGCAACTTAGGGCTAAATTACACACCGATGAAGAGCTGCTATGGCTTGATCATGGTAAAACTCTGCGTGAGCAATCGGTTTGTGTACCAAACGCTTGTTCAAATTAATTTCATGACTTTTTCATTGCCTACGCAGTTTGATGGGATGAAAAAAAGATGATTTTCGTCATTTCTGTGACTATAATTTTCAGGTAAATGATGATGAAACGCTCATCTTGCGTCGAAAGTTCTTTTTTTCGGACACAAATGTTGACTGTCGCGATCCTGTGCAATTAAACTTACTGTATGAGCAGTGTAAAATGGGTGTTTTGCAAGGAAATCATCCTGTCACGCGTGATATGGCTTGCAACTTGGCTGCCTTACAATGTCAAATACAGTACGGTGATCTTCAAGAACATCGACAACGAGCTAACTTCTTAGAGTAAGTTTTGATTGCACTTTTACCTTTCAAACAACTCCCTGATTTCATAATCCTTGATTATAATAAGCAGTTTGTCGTAATAATTGCAGTCTCCGTGAAATTTTGCCAAAGGAATATGTAAAGTCGAAGGATAACGAGAAGCGTGTAATGGATGCTTATCGTGAATTAACTGGAAAAAATGAACTGGATGCAAAGAGCAAATATGTTCATTTGTGTCGTTCTTTGCTTACTTATGGTGTGACATTCTTTGTGGTGAAGGAGAAAATGAAGGGTAAGAACAAGCTGGTACCACGGTTGCTGGGTGTAAATAAAGAATGTGTGATGAGGATGGATGAGAAAACCAAGGAAGTGCTCCAGGAATGGCCATTGGAGCAAGTAAGACGATGGGCTGCCTCACCTAAAACATTTACATTGGTAAAAGTTTTTAAGTTATTTTATCATTTTTCTGACATACGGGTATCGGATTTTTATTTATTTTGAAATTTAACTCACATGGATACGACAAATTTTAGAACTTAAAAATTTTTTCTAACTTAAAAAATTTAAGGATTTCGGTGACTATCAAGATGGTTATTATTCCGTACAAACGGCAGATGGTGAAAAAATTGCGCAGTTGATTGCTGGTTACATTGACATTATTTTGAGAAAGAAACGAACTTGTGACCATGTTGGCATAGAGGTTTATTTGATTTAATTTCATTTCATTTGAGTAAGCTTGCTATTTCTGGATTCATTTCAAGAATTTTATCTTTGTTGAAGTATCTTTATTCATTTATTTTTAGTCGATTAATAAAATTGTTGATTTATAGCAAATTTATAAATGGTGAACTGTTTGAAGTTCTTCAGGGTGATGAAGGTTCAACGATGTTAGAAGATATCGTAGCGCCGGCACGTGCTACATTGGTCGCACATGGACAAATTGCTGAAGGATTTGCACATGAAGGCAGTGTTGCTATTCCAGGTGTTTTACGAACTCCTGGTAATTTAGTATCTGGACAGAGGGGAATTCTGAATGGTGCACAATATGGTGCTGTAAGTGGGCAGATTCTCCAACAACAACTTGCAAAAGTAAGGAATATAAGTATCAATGAATGCTATTGCTTAAAATAAAATGCGTAATTAAGTTTCAGATTTTTTTAGTAGTTGTGGAAACCGTGACTTCATATTTGCATGGAGTTTTGGGAATCGATTTTCAGATACCGAGAGAGATTGACATTGATCGTTTTTATGTTAAAATTAAGTCAGAAAAATAATGAGAACATTATAGGGTCAACGGCCACGTATAGTTGATTCGCAGGAACGAGCTCAGCGAGCTTTAATTGGTACAATTGAAGCATCAATACGTGCTGTTGAAGCCGCTGAAGAAGAAATGAAGAAGCCAGTAGAGATCCAGATGCCACGGTTCAGTGATGATCCTGCTTCACGGCGTTGGATTGAAACTAAAGTAGAAGTCGAAAAACAAAAAGTAAATTTTACTTGTCTTTTTGGTGTTTCCAAACTTATTTTCTCAAACATTCTTTCCAGTTTTTTTTTTTTTTTTTCCGTTCTATTTTACTATTTCTGTTTATATATATATATATATATATATATATATATATTTGACTCAATTTTTTTTACAAATTGAATTTTGTGCTAATTTGCGCTAAGCGTAACAATTGTTTCTTCGATAACGGAAAAAACGTCAGTTTCAATCGGTAACAAAATTTTGGCTATGTGCCGAAGAGATAAACTGCAATTTCGCAGTCTCGAGAATAAGACTTGATAACTAACGTTGAATACCAAGTTTTCAAACTTAGATAAAAACAGTAAAAGATAGCGTGTTTCAAACTTATCATTATATTCAGAAATTGGATGCATAATTAATGATATTTTTTTGTATTAATATTTTTTGTACTTTAAATTCATTCATGTCTATACGTTACTCCAGAACATTTCTCCCACTTTTATTTGAGAAGAGCAGTTTTACTTCCTGTTCAGATGTCAAATTATATTAGCCTGTGCTTCATTTCTTAGTGAATTAAGACAATAACAAAAATTTATTCAGGTGGGTGACCAGCTAGCACAAATGGGAGCTGCTACAGCTCAGGTTGTACAATTGACAGCAGTTACAGATGAAGTGGATTCAAAAGTTGGCACGGCAATAGCTACAATTGGATCAAATATGCCAGAAATGGGTCGCGGAGTACGTGAATTAGCTGCCTTATTGCCTGACGAACAACGACGTGGTATGATACTAGTAATTCATTTTTTCAGAAATTTATGAACTGCATTTTTTGAATATGGTTTTTAATTTCCATTGAATATTTTTCCCGTTGTCTTGTGAGAGATAGACTAATCGAGATTGTTTCGTCATATGTGTAAATTGACTAAAATGAATAAAATTTAGGTGATTTGGTTGGTGCTGCTCGAAAGTTATGTGGTGCTTTTTCTGATTTCCTGAATACAGTCAATCCGGAACATGAAGAGAAACGAACAACAGTACTTGCTGCTGCTGGACGTGTTGGTGATTTCTCACAAGCTGTTATAAATACCTTGGATGAACCAACCAATGAAGTGAGGACATTCCATGATCATTTGGTGCAGCGTGCAAAGAATGTAGCAACCTCTACAGCACAACTTGTACTTCGGTTGGTTTAAGTGGTCGTGCTCAATTGTGACGATATAGAATACTATATCAATTTAAATTTAAAAATTTTCTGAAAATTGGTTTTTTAAAATATTTGCAGAAGTCCTAATAGCTCAATGAAAAGTTTTTGTATAATTAATTTCCGCCTTTTAATATACTTAGGAAGGAAATGAAATTTGCTTTTTGTTTGGAGACATATTCAAGAGCACAAATTTTTTTTTTTATCTTTTTTAAAAGCATATCTCAAAAAAAGGAAATATCTGTTTAAATTACTAAGTGTATGAATTTAGAATTTTCTCAGAAAACTTTGTCTTATTTCGTTAATGTATAAACTTACTCTCAATTTGAAGAAATAAGATTTGTATTTTTCTAATGTACCTTAATAAAACGCCGTGTCTACTAGGATTTTATGACGACTTAAGGATATTAAGCTGATATTTCTAGGGCTAAAACTATATCTGCTGAATGCGAAGAGCCGGCATTGCAAGACAAAGTGATTCATTCTGCTACCCAATGCGCTTATGCTACTTCTCAACTGGTAGCATGTGCTCGAGTTGTTGCGCCAACTATCGATTCTCCTGCTTGTCAGGAACAATTAACATCTGCTGCGAAACAGGTAGCTCGTGCAGTGGAGGATCTATTAGTAGATGCACAAGAAGCGTGTTCGCGAAGCATTGGTGATGGAAAGAAATCTTTTACTGATATTCACGAGGCTTCTCGACAGGTAAACTTCTTTCTATAAATAGGTCAAGCAGAGTCAAAGTATTAATAAGTGATGTAGTATATTAAGTCGGAATATTAATTTATACTATCGATAATTTGAACAGCATGGCACAAATTCATGTTTTCAATTATGAGTGGGACGTTTTGAAAATTAATCTTAGTACTGCTAAGTACGAGTTTGTAGACTCAGTTCTTAAATAGGATTAATTTAAGGTGACAACAGCATTGGATGATTTGCTTTTGCATGTGAAAACTTCACCGAAATTAATTCGTACAACACAAGAAAATTATGAATATGAACAAATTTTGAATCAATCTAGAAAGATTATTACATATCAGGTTTGCTTTCTTGTATTTGTTTTATGCTTACTTAGATTACTTGCATATCCATCCCGCAGTGCCTTTGATTATTATTGAAATATGATTTTACTTGAACCTAGTTTACCAGATTTCGAAGGTTTTGGTCTTCTTGTGTTTCTGCTACGCACCTAGCAATTAATCCTAATTTTTTTACTCTTTATAGATTTGCAGTGTTATTCTTTTATATCTATTTACTTTTGATGCAAAAATTTGAAAATAAAGAGGAGAACCTTTATTTAAATATTGTAAATTTGATTGTTTTCAAATTCTAGGGACCAACCGAAGATATGGTGCGACAAGGCGAAAACGCAATACGCCATAGTCGTTTATTAGTCGAGCAGATGGAAGCAGAAGCAGATCGTACACCGGAACGCCGTGATCGCTTACTTGATGCAGCTCGTTCAGTGGCACAAGCTACTAGCCGAATGATCGATGCTACGAAGGTATTGCATTTCAATAATTATGTCTTTATAGTTGTTTTTAAATATTTATTTTGAATTTGTTATGGAGAACCATTTATTTTTGCTAGAATTTGTTGATCCTACATGAAAAGTGAAATGTTTGTGTTCAGGAATGTCAAGTGCGTCCGCAGGCAGCTGAATCGCAAGTAGCATTACGCGATGCCGCTGAAAAGTTGGTGACGGTCACCAGTGAAGCAACCAGTGAGGAACAATCAAAAAGAACTATGGAACACCTCGAACAGGTTTACTTCTGACATTTAACGGTTGAAGTTTACATTTACAGTTTAAAAATAAGGAATTTTCCAAAAAATTTTGCAGGCTGCAAAACAAGCTGCAGCTGCAGCAACGCAAACTATAGCAGCAGCGAATGCTTGTCAGCCATATATTCAATCGAAAACAGTAACAGAAACATTGATCGTCGAATGTACAGAAACAGCAGAACGAGTACCTCCGCTTATTGCATCCATCCGTGAAAGTCAGGCAGCTCGTTCACCCAACGAAAAATTTCGTGCTCAAAGCAGTTTGATTCGTGATACGACGCAGGTAGGCTATCATTCGTTTCAAATCCAAGATCAGAAGTAATTCATTGTGTTCATCAGACTATTTGTTGTCATGCCGCAGTTAAACAGGAAATACTATTCATAAGCAATTAATAGCACTGAGTTATTAAAGAGTGAAACATCAAAGGAGAAAAGTTATTTTATGCATAAAATACTACCAATTACCAAAGAAATTTTGATATTTGAATATTTGGTACACGATACCGAGAGGTTATCTTTGCGTTTCATTCAAATTTTATTTTCTCATTTTGGTATTACTCCTTCGTATTTAGTTAGGAAGACAAAGTCTTGATCAGAGTAGTGATTTTATCTATACTTCGGTTTTAAAATGTTTATTTATTACAAACTATCTCATTTTGTTTGTTTGCAGCTTCTTTTTATTGTCTTTGCCCTAACTACCATCTTTTTTCATTTTTCTCTTCCCCATTCTCTTGAGTAGTTAATGACACTTTTATATTAGTTTCTATCTTCTGCAGCGTAGCATAATTTATGCTTATTTATATTCTAGTTTATTTATATTGTGTTTGAGGAACAGTTAACTCTAATGTATCAGAAAGCATAAATCTGATCGAAACCAAAATATGTCTGTTTGGCTATTTGGAATACCATCATTTTACAAAGAGTTATTTATTGATGATAATTTATTATTTAAATGATTTACAAATTGTTGGTATTTCGAAAAAGCTGACTTAGTATTTTGGTTTGATTTTAAAAATTTCATTAAAATTGGACAGAGAAATGTTGGTGCACCTTCGAAGTGAACTCTCTTGTAGACGAGACAAAACAGGACCGATTTATCAGTGTAATAGGAGGACTCGATCTAATCGTCATCTCGTATCTATTGGACGCCATTATTGAGGGAAACAGGGGAAGAAATGAGAATGTTTTTGGGGGAATTGTATTTGGATTGAAATTTGCTTACTTCATGATTTGTATTGATTGACCAACTTATTATCATTCACTGCCTTTCCATTGATTTCAGCAAATTTTTTTTTTTTTTTAATGGTATTAACTTAATCTAATATCATCTATAATGCTAATATTATATGGCCTCCAGTTTCATCCTTTACTGCAATACTACTACTTGCAGTTATTTTTACATTATATGCTTAATCTAGTTTTTCTTTTGCTTACTGCTATGTTTTTGTTCCCTCGAATGTTTTCCTTTTAATTCCTCTGAATTATTCTAATGTACCCTTTTAGATGATTTTAACTTCCTAATTATTACACTAATAATACCTTCATCGTGATTTTGTAGATTTTGTATTTATCTAGCTTTTTATGATTTCCCACTTTAGTTGCAATTCACTCTTGACTAATTTATATTTTCGATGAAGTTTCTCTATTTTCTGTCATGCATTATGAATTGTCATCTAACTTTTTTATCATTAGCAATATTTGGTACTTTTATGTACCAAATATTAGCAACAGTATTTCGTTTTTATGTCAAAATTAGAATGTTTTCACAGCAGCATAACTGTTTTCTGCTGCCATTTAATGGAATGTTCTGTAGATAGAAGTTTTTTAGATATAGAGAAAATACTGCGGTTATTTGAGTTAGGTTAATGTTAATTTTAATCATTAAAATAATTTTTTTTGATAACACCAAGCATTTTGATAATCGAATTTTCAAGTTATCGATTATTTCTGTTTGAATATGTAATGTAAAATAAAGCTTATTGGCTGTCGTAGTCTTTCATATCAAAGTAAATTGTTTTAATAAGTTTTTTTTTTTTTCCTTAAAACATTGTTTTCGATTTTTTTAGATTTTTGTTCTGAAGGTGTGTCAAGTTTGAAAAAGTAGATGAAGGAATAGATTTGCTAGCTAACAATATTGTGTTTGTTTTTTTTTTTCTTTTATTATTTATTTATTTTGCTAACTACAGTAATAATATAGCTAGCAACGTTTAAAAGTCTATATTTGTGCAATTTACTTTATATTTAACTTAAGCATTAATGGCTTTGAAGTTATAATGTCTATTTTGGGAAAGATTTTCATTGTTGGTATTCATCTTCATTCTTATTTTCGTTCAGCATTGGTTTTTTTTTTTTTTTTGAGTTTTGTTGAATTGGCAACTTATCCATTATAGATATAGTTATGTTCCGGCTTCCTTTGTTAATTTTAGTAGTTTAGTCGAGTGATACCTTATTTTTAATAACATTTTTGCTTCTTTTTTAAGTTCTATGACATAATGTTTTGTTTAAGTTCTATTCGATTGTTGTCTCGGTTGAATTTTCCAACTGGAATGAGTTTCTGCTGTTCAGTAATTGCTCCTTTTGAAATGCGTGTTAAATTTAAACGAAAATCAGTTGAATGCTCACCTAGACAGCAGTCTTTGTTTTCATATTTTACTTTATATTATGAATTTTCTTAATTTTTCAGTTTTCAGGTACTGCGACCGGCTACCCGACTAGTTGAGGTTGCACGCCAGACAGTGCCTTCAGTTCCGGAACAACATGTAGCCATTCATTTACAATCTACTAGTCAACAACTTTCCACACAACTAGCAGAGTTAAGAGTTGCTTTGAACAATGCCAAGCAGCTTAATTTTGAAATGCAATTGGCACATTCGGAAGATCTAATTCGAGAACTGGATAATGAGCTTATTGAAATTGGTCGTGCCGCTCAAAACGGACAACTTACCGCAGTGCCTGGAGAATCAGCCGAAACTGCGAGTTCCAAGCTAGCTAGTTCTGCTAGACAGGTAGGCTAAGTTTGTACTAGTAGGTAAGGTAGTCTAACATTCCATAACTTTCAAGTATTCAATATTTTTTTTATTTTTAGGTTGGTTCAACGTTGACTCAAATGGTAAGCGCAGTAGCAAGTGGTGATCGTCAACATGTTGGTGCAAGTGCGATCGAAGCAGCACAGTCGTTGCGAACGTTTGTGTCTGCTGTTCATGGAATATGTTCAACAAGAAAAGATACAACCGTAGATAGGTTAGTACATTTTTGCTCCATATAAATATTTCATTCAATAAATTGATAATAAAGCATACGATTTATTAATGAATTATCAATATTTTAAGGTTCATTGTCTCAGCTCGTTCTGTAGTCCACGATTCAGGACGTGTATTTGATAAGGTACGTGAACAGGCGACATCGCAGCAGCTTAATGATGCTACAAAACAAGTAGCAGTATCATTACGGCAATGTTTATCGTGCTTGCCGGATACGCAACATGTTGAAAGAGCTGTTAGCCAAATTAAATCGTTCAGAGTAAGTACTAAGATTTAACTTTGTTTAATTTCATATGATATATATATATCACGTGAAGCACGATGCGAACGACTGAAAAGATGCTGTCGCCGTAAGCTATTGCTACTACTACTACCATTTCTACCAATTTCCATAACAGTACTGCTAACACACTCAGTAATATTGAATTGGACCTAAACTCAGGCTTAGGCTTATATATATATATCATATGATATTATCTCTGAATATTTGTTCCTAAAAATAACTGCTACAAATGATTTGAATAAGAAATAAGTGACTGAGAAATTTTAATTCTTTTATAGGCTCCTGAAATAGCATCTATCGTAGATCTCCGTGGTTCAGCTTCACGGCTTATAGAAGCTTGTTCACAGTTAGCAGTAAGCTTGCAAGCACCGCAGGAAACAGCAGCTGTGGATGTATTTGTTCGATCTTATACTGATTTCCACACTGCTGTTACACAAGCCATTAAGCAGCAACAGGTTTGTTCTTTGTAATTACAAAAAAGAAATTATAGTAAAATTATTTATTTTCATCTGGAAATTAATCTTACTATGGATTTTAACGTTCTTTGTATTAATGTATTATTCTCTTAAGTTTGTTGTTACCGAAAAGCTCTATTCGTTTAGACTCTCATCGTAATTTTCTGTACATTACTGAAGTTTAATATGAAAATATTGTTTTTGTAATTTTTTTTTTGTCTTTAATAAGAGTGAAATTTAGGATGGAGTGCAACGACAGCAATGTGTATCTTACCTGGAAACAGTTCGAAACGAAGCAGTGAATGTTGTATGGCGTACCCATACTGCTTCAATGGATGCTTCCAATGCGTCAGCTTTACAATTACTATCTCAATCCACTCGTTCACTTACTGAATCCGTCAATGCTATCGTTGAAAACGTGAGCCGCGAGGCTCCTTGGCAACGTGAGTGTGACGCAGCATTACGGCAGATAAAGGTAAGTTTTTGGATTGGAATTCATATGAAGGATCAAAAATAGTGTTAATTTCAATGAAGTCTAGACTAGATGTCATTTGCTTTCAGTCTGTACGGCATATTCTGGATCGAGCCAACTTGCCGGTCAATAATGAAGGTTATTACGAAAGTTTGGATTCTGTGACGGAGCAAGCAAAACGGTTGGGTGAAGGTATGACTGGTATAGCACGACATGCAAAGAATCAGGATACTCATTCACTTTGCGAAAGTGTTCACATTGCTGCAGATGCAATTTGTGGTCTTGCCGAAGGAGCCACTCAGGTTTATTTTTTATTTGTGACTTATTTGAGTAATTCCTTTTACTTTCATAATTCGTTTTTTTTTTTTTTTTTTTCATAATTTTTTTCACTCTATTCAGAGTGCTTATCTAATTGGTGTTGCTGATGCAAAGAGTCAACCAGGACATGCAGCTATCATCGATACATCAAAATGTCATCGTTCCGTTGAAATTGTCAAACAGATATGTGAACGAATTGAACGCATGGAATATACGCAGCAACAAATTCTTGATGTTTGTTATTCATTTTCATAATTATAAAATTTATGATCCTTTCTATTATTGCATCTAGTAGTAAAAAAGTAGTTTTTGATTACTATTTTATTGATAAAATATTAATTAAAAATTTAATGATAAATATCTTATTAATAAATCTTTTGGAAATGTAAAATAAAATATGAAAAAGTTTCTTAATAGATTAATCATCTTGTTCTACATTACCGTATATAAAAATTTTTAATTTCAATATTCATTTCAGGATGCTACAGTTATTGCCAAACACACTTCAACACTAGCCAATTTATGTCGCGAAGCATCAGAACGGGCATCAAATGTAAACTTAAAGAAGCAGTTTATCAACTGTGCTCGAGAAGTTGCATCATCTACAGCTTCTTTGATAAGTGCTGTGAAACAGCTGGATAGCTCATTCACGTAAATCATTATTTTAAGATTTTTATGAAGAAAAATTAGAATAAGAAGGGAGCGCAAATTAGGTCTTCAATGCGATAGCTATTAAAATCAGTAGTTCTTAGTTACTTACAAAAAAATCTTTAGAGAGAAAAACCAGCGAGAATGTACGGAAGCAGCGCGATCTCTGTACACTGCAGCTCAACAACTAGAAACATTCGTGGACAATCCGGACTTTGCAGCAGTTCCTGCTAAGATATCTATAGCTGGTGAAATTGCACAGAAGTCAATTCTCTTATCAGGCAGAGAAATGCTAGATGCCAGCTATGAAATGATCTTGTAAGTGCAGTTGTTTGCTTCTTTGTTTTCAAATTGCTTTTTGCTAAAATAAAAAGTCTCGTGATTGCATGAAGATGAATTGCCATCTTTTGGTTATTAAAATAATTGTTTCTTTCCAGTTTTGAGATGACTTGTTTATAGAACTGCTAAGCAGCTTGCTGTATCACCAGCAGATGCATCAACTTGGCAACGCCTTGCTGATAATTCAAAAATTGTTAGTGAGAGTATCAAACGTTTAGTAACATCTATCCGTGAACAAGCACCTGGTCAGGTTAGTTGATTACCATTTTAATCTTGTGTTTTTGCTATTTATTTATAGGGATCAAAAGTTACACAGAGAAATGTCAAAATCAACTTGTAAAAAGTCTTTTTTGCCATTTTGATTTTAAAATCGATTTTGAAAGCTCCAATTATTTTGTGTTGAAAAGAGAGCTCGGTTTGCGGTATTTTTATTTGAAAAGTAAAAGCATTTTTTGTTTTTTAGACTTTTGTTTGAAAAACTGTCGTTTTCCAGGTGGACTTGGATGCTGCAATAAACCAGCTTCAGCAGATGATTCAACAAATCGATCGAGCCTCAATGGATGCCTTACAAGACCAACTGCCACGTGGTGTAATCACTGAACAACGAGTTCATCAGCAAATCTTGCATGCTTGCCAATCTCTTTATGATAGGTCAGAAGTATCTATGTCCCAGTATATCATTTCATAATAGTAGCTTTTTTTGTTTCCAGATGTTTTTTTTTTTTTTTTTCTCTCGATTCTCCTTCCTTCAGATAAATTTATGTTTTCCAGAATTGAGCTATTACGTGAAGCAACAATTGGACACAGTGAAGAACTTGGACATTGTGTACATGAACATATGGAAGCAATAGAACCATTGGTACAGTCTTCTATACAAGCAGCTTCAGTAACCTATGACACAAAATCATTAACAACAATCTTTGAGCAATGTAAGACTGTCGTTGAAGCGGAGCTACAGATGCTATATGCATGCAGAAATGTCACTAGAAATCCGAAGGTTTCTTTTTCATTCTGTAAAATTATGAAGTTTTAATTTCAAATTAAATTAGGAAGTATCTTTTTTTTTAATATAATCTCTCATTAGCACTGTTTTATTTCAGGCTCGTGATTTGCATGTAATATTAAGTGATAGTGCTAGTCAGCTACGTGATGCTCTTGCTGAAATGCAGCGAAATATAAATCGTATGGCATCTGAAGCTGGTGTTATTCTTGGAGTTGTGGAGAATATATCTAGATCGATAGCTCTTACTGATGAGACTACTTCACAGACAATCACGGGAACATTTACAGATGCACAAACACGTATGATAAGTGCGTTGGAGGAAATATCACGCCTTGCTACTGATATGCCTCTTACGCCTCCAGAATCGTTGGGATCATTGGCATTGCGATTATCTGAACGGTACTTTTTTCCTACTAGTTTTCTATTTTGTTTTTATTTTAACTTCATTTTTTAACTTTTTGTTTTAGCTATTCTGATCTGGCTACCGATTCACGCCTTGCCATTGCAACACTATCTTCTCCAAATCTAGCACAGAAATTACGAGTGGCTGTGCAGAAATTAGGTACTGCTTGCATCGAAGAAGTTAAAATAGCTGGACAGCGTCGTGCTCACCCAGCTGATCAGGCAAGTTTATTGAAAATATTTAGCGATAAAATATTCACTAATATTAGAGGTTACTGAAAAGGTAGAGGATAATATTAATAGTACTTAAAACTGTTAACTTTTAAAAATAGAATAATAATCATTCTACGAAAATGGAGTAGAGTAGATGAAAAAGCAGAGTAGGTAATAGATAAGTTGCGAAATGAAGTGAAAAATGAAATAAATTCAAGTTAATATCAGATAGTACTAGTTTCATTAAAATCAAAGGTTTTAATGCGAAGAGATGAGAAAGAAAGCACACTTCATATTTTATAACTGCTGAAAAATAAGACAGGATTTGATTGTGTTCTTATTGAAAATTGTTTGATATCCAGTTCGAAATTTCGTAGAGATTTTTTTTTTTTCATGTTTTATTGATTGGCATATCAATTTCGTGAATTCAGTATGAGAAATGAATAATTGATTGCTTCATTTTTTCTTTGCTGCTTAAAATAACGCATAGAGTATCCAGGAAAAACAGATATAAAAATAAAGGTGTTAAAAAATCAAAAATATTTCAGCGTGTACTAGATGATTTGTCTCGTGGATCACAGACCGTGGTAGAAAGAGTACAAGAAGTGCTTGCAGCGCTCCATGAAGGGTCACGTGGCACGCAAGCATGCATTAACGCTGCCAATACTGTATCCGGTATCATTGGTGATCTTGATACAACAATTATGTTCGCAACTGCTGGATCGTTGAATCCACAAAGAGATTCCGAAAATTTTGGAAACCATAGGTGAGATAATACAATTTTGACTTGCTTTGTTTGTACATTTTTAACTAGACTAATATAACATTCCAAAAATTAATTATAATGTGTCACCGATATATAGTTAAAATTAAATTAGAGTTTAATTCTAGGGAAGCAATTCTAAAAACTGCAAAAGCCTTAGTAGAAGATACGAAGGCACTTGTGGCAGGTGCAGCATCAAATCAAGAGCAACTAGCAGTTGCAGCACAGAATGCTGTGCGTACTATTGTCAATTTGTCAGATGCGGTTAAGAATGGTGCTGTTTCATTGTCTTCCGATAATGCTGAAGCCCAAGTTATGGTCATTCATGCAGGTAGGTATATTCTATTTGGTTATTACCAAATATATATTTTTTCTTTTTTTACGTATGAAAGAAGGAATACATTTCTGTGTAAAATTTATAAAAAGCAAGAAAATGTTTTATTTCAGTTCGTGATGTCGCAGCTGCTCTTTCAAATTTAATTCAAGCTACAAAAAATGCATCGGGCCGCTCACTTCATGATCCTGCTATGGGATATCTTAAAGAAGCAGCTAAGGTAGCTAACTTCTTTTGTTATTGTTTTACTTATTTTTAAGTTTTCTTTATTATATGGAGCGATTCCAAAACTTAGAAATAGCTTAAGTAGCTTATTAGAAGTTCAGAATAGATATACTTGCATCATTAATAAATAGATGTCCCTCCTCTATATTACAGTTCAAAAAGAATGTCGCTAGGTATGGAGTGATAAGGTTTTTTTCTTTTTTCATTCTTTTTTTTATTTTCTTATGTTTTTACTCTTGTTATAGATTATGGTAACAAACGTAACATCATTACTAAAAACTGTGAAAACAATTGAAAACGAACATCAACGCGGTGAGAGAGCACTGGAAGCAGCTATTGAAGCTATTAGTCAAGAAATTAGTCTTTATGATAGTGGTGAAGCACCTTCAAGAGGTGAAACATTTGTTTAATGACAACGGTTAAATATTGTACAGAAAATTACAAGAATAACTTTCTTCTATTCTTTAGAAGTTAATGAGGAACATTTTTATCTAGAAGCCTGAAGAAGAAAATATCTTTTTTTTTTTTTGGTTTTTTCGTGATCAGTTACTTTTAGTTATATTAATACTTAATTTGTATAACTGAATAATTTTGATTTTTTGATTTTCCTTGGCTTGTTCTTCATTTTTTTTTTTCATTTTTTATGTCTTGAAGCTTTTTATTGTTTGGATCAGTAATTTACCATGTCAAATCATTTTGACGAAAAATGAGAACTTGGAAGGATTTTATTCACCCCACAGATCAGTAACTGATTAGCGTGTTTTGAAGTTGTCAAAAGTTTAAAATGAGTATAGTTGAAATGGATTTGAGATAAGAAATTTTGTTATGCTGCATCAGTTCAGTGCTAATAAATTGCTGATTTCCAATGAAATCTTTGCATTCGTTACTGCTAGCAGTAGTAATAGTAAGAAATTATGATCCTCACTCTCTTCAATTTTGCTTTATTTGTAAAGTCAGTTGAAGAAGCACTTATGATGTTTTAGTGTCTCGAATAAACTGCTTCTTTCAATTTACGAATATTCTAGAATCTTTTGTTTAGGAGGAGCAACAGCAGAAGATCTTATCCGATCAACAAAACAGCTGACTGCAGCAACAGCTCGTGCAGCAGCAGCAGCACAAACACTACAACAAAGTGATATTATTGCAGCAGCTAATATTGCCCGGCAATCTGTATGTGATTTGTTAGCCACCACCCGCGCTGCTGCTCTGTCTGCTGATTCGGCTGATGCTAGGTTTATCTTAATAAATGACCCTTTTCTTTTCTATACTTTTCATATGAGAAAGATATAACTGTTTTATTTTCATACTCATCAAATTCAGTATTGTATTGTTGACTATTGTATTATGTATTCCTTCTCTGTTTTATCACTTTGCTATTTTATACTTGATGATTTTTTGGTAGAACTTCAATCTATTTTATTTTTTTTTTTTTTATTATTGAATTTAAAGCAATAGTGGATTAAATTTGTAATTACCAAAAGCGATATTCTTTTTGGTGATGAATGTTATGTCAGAAACTGTTTCAGATATCGTACACTAGACTGTGGACGTGAAGTGGCTGTTCAGGTACGCTCACTTCTGATAACTCTTCAAGCGTTGACTATACGACGAGATGATCCACATGCTCGGGATGCTTTGCTGGAAGCATCTAGACGAATTGCGAAAGTAAGCTTTATTATTCTTTCATGGAAGCGACTTGGCCGATAATATAGTCTTGGAAGCATTGAAATTAGAATGAAATTGATACGAAATTTGAGTGTTTTGTTGAAGGAACTTATAATGGAGAAGTAAATGGAGAATTTGCTCTAAATTTTTCCATATTCTAGGTGGTCGGTGAACTTGTAAATTGTGGTGAACTGCTGAAAGGTGATTCGTGGACTGATCCATCAGATCCAACAGCAATTGCAGAAAATGAGCTTATCGGAGCGGCAAACTCTATCGAAGCAGCAGCTGTGAAACTCTCCCAGCTTAGACCACGTCAGGCTCAGGTAGAAATAAAACTAAAATTGTGCTTACTTGATGGTTGTTTATGGAGTGTTATATGCTTTTAAAATCATTTCCTGGTTTGCATTGAGTGGCATGCTTTATTAAAATATATGGGTGTAAATTCCACCGTTATTTTCGTAACACATAAGTTTCAGTAGTTCAATTATTTATTTGATTTTTTTCATAATCTAATTTCTATACAAAAATTTATTCTCGAATTTTTATTTGAAAATTTTATGCATGTAGTAGCAGCCAGTAGTTGAATGTATTGTTTTGTACGACCCAACAGTAAGGAGATATACTCCTGACCATTATGGCAGCACTTCCTGCATATGCAGTGTTGATATGTCTGATATTCTTGGGTTGTGCAAAGTCAACCAGCATCTCAGACGTATCGGCCACTGTGTATTGCTCCATATCCATTTCTCCAACCTGATGCTGTTGCGTTTTAGCACTGTTGTGGCTTTATATTGTATAATTTGGGCTCACCTGCTTTTAGTTTTCCTTTTTTTTTTTCTCCTTTTTGTTTTTTGTTTGCGGAATGAAAAGATGACATTTTCGTCCCATACATATGATTTAGTTTAGTGGATGTCGTTACACTTTTTTTTTTTTTTTTTTGTAAAAATAACCTTTTTAATTGAGACTATGAATTATTCATCAGAGAGCATGGAAGTGTTGTGCCATAGTGTGAACATGCTGATTTTCTTTCTTTGATTTTGTTTTTCGATTTTTACAAAAGTTCAAACTTACCATCAGATTTAGAAAGTAGACGATTCACTAACATTCGATGAGCAAATTCTGGCTGCAGCGAAATCAATTGCAACTGCTGTACAGACTCTTGTGAAAGCAGCATCTGCAGCACAACGTGAGCTGGTCGCTCAAGGAAGGTAATATTTTCTTGTGTACTTACCGAAAAAAAAAAAAAAGATTTCTATAAACATGGGAACATTTGAATCAAAATGAAATGATTTACAGATTGGAAGCACATCCGGCATTTGCAACAGATGATTATCAGTGGTCGGAAGGATTGATCTCAGCGTCTCGACTTGTTGCAGCAGCCGTTCATCAGCTTTGCGAAGCAGCTAATGCACTTGTGCAAGGTCATTCATCTGAAGAGAAACTTATTTCGGCTGCAAAACAGGTATTTATAGAGAAATATACAACACAAGTAGATTGTTTGCTATACAATATAGTACTTGAAAATTGTGGTAGGGCTATTCAAACCATGCAGGGATTAAGAATGTGGTAGAAATTATATGCGCTTAAATATTACTTGCTAGTAATGATAGTGCACTCTTTTTGCTTGTATTTTTTTTTAAAGTAAACAAAGTTAATGGTGGGAAGTTTATGAGAAATGTCTAAGATGCATCATCATATAAAGGAACCGCAGAAAGTAATGGATCAGTTAAATGAGAGATATGATGGATAGTTAAATGATAGGGTTGAATTATAAAATATACAATTACATTTTTGATTCTTTAGGTAGCCTCCTCAACTGCTCATCTTTTGGTAGCATGTAAGGTAAAGTCAGACTTAGACAGTCGTGCCATGCAGAGATTGCAAAGTGCAGGGCATGCCGTTAAGACAGCTACGGAACATTTGGTAATGGCTGCTCGTTCAGCGATACATGAAGATGAGCGTACTTTAATCATTTCACAGCGCATGGTTTCAGGTATTGCACAGGTTCGTAATTACCGATTTGAATTTTGTAAACGTTTTATCCTTTCTTCTAAGAGATGTAATGCTTAATGATGTTTTATTATAAATTTATTGATATCTTGCAAAGTTCTCAAAGAAATCTGTGCTCTAATCATGTGGAAACTTTCGTGTAGTAATTTGATGCTCACGCATTGCCAAAGCTTAAACTTCAATTATTTGCATTCTGGAAAAGATACTGTCATAAAAATGGATACAATGAAACTTTATTGTAGGTAATGGATGCGCAAGAACAAGTTCTTCGAAAAGAACGTGAACTAATTGAAGCGCGAGGAAAGTTAGCAGCGTTGAATAAGGCTCGATATGAACGTGGTATGTCTCCCAATACTGATCGTTAAATTACAATCCTTTTGTTATTAATAACAAAAGTACTGGCATTATTAAATAAGATGCAATTAGCGGCAAGCGTACAACAATGCTTCATAGAAGTGTTATATGTTCTGTTTGATTTAATTTGTAAATATGGTAGTTGAAGTAGTATCAGGATACTACAAGTGCTACTCAAACTTTTCACAAGTGCCACTCGAACTTTTTACAAGTGCCATTTGCCGATAGATTTTGTTACTGACGAACAAAAGACATTTCAAGTGTATTATTTTTTTTTTTTTTTTTTTTTAGAAAACTAGGTGTCAGAATCACTTCCTTCCATAATCCTTTTAATTATTTTGAAAAATGAAAGCAGCATTTCAATTGTTCTTGATTGTTTTCATCGATATTCTTGTTGAAAAGATGTATCCATTAGCAGTAAAAGTCTGATAGAACTGATAATGCTACATCTAATATACTAAACTGCCAAATAAACCAAGTGATTTATTAGAATATTCATTCATTTTCTGGATAAATGTAAACCTTTCCATTTAAATTTATATTTTCCTTTTTAAAACATTTTTCGGTGAATGTATTCTGGTTGACCAGTATATAACTAGAATTATCTTCTATATCGTTCCTAAGTTATACAGATTAATAATAATATTTTATTGTTATTTTCAATTTTTCAGTCTAAAATGATTGCTCTGCACTATTTCTGCTCACAAATATTTCACCTATTGAAATAGCGCTTATACGTACGTGTGTACCTTGCATAGCAAGTTTTCTTTGTTAAGCACATATCGCCTTCTGTTTCCTGTTTATGTTATTTTTGGTATATTGTATTATTCCATTAAACTTAGGAAAATAATAAAATGATACGCCTTAACAGATTATGATATCGTCGAATTAATTTTTAAGAGGATTTACAGGAGAATGATTCATTTGTTAGAGTTATAAAAAAATAAAAATAACTTTTGCTTAGAAAGGAAGAAGGAAAATAAAAATGTTTTAAATATTAGATGGTAAATATTTGTTTAAGAATGAGAAAGGATATAGTTATTTTTTGTATTCATTTCAAATAGAATTTTATCATTAGAAAGAAAAAACTTTAAGTAAGAAATTGGTATTGTTAAATAATAGTTTTTTTTTTTTTTTTTTGGTATATAAAAATGGTAACAAATGAACAGTTCTAATATTTTGAATTTTTGTTGCTGATTTATCTACGTTCATATGCTGATCATGAAAATTCAAAAGAGGGTTCCATTTTGTTGTTTCGAAATTTAGTGCTCAATTAAGTGAAATAATTAAAAATGAAGGGTTGATAACTCTTAACATGAAAGATTCCACTTAAAAGAGTCGTAAAATTTGCTGTTGTTGTATAACTTGCACGCTGCCATTTTGCGGGTAAATTTGAAGATTTTTCTAATTTGAAATGACGAATTTTATGGTTTTACGACCTTCTTTCGCCTTCAATTGCTCACATTTGAACTGAATTTCTGGCCGGTTCTAGCAGCACAACAGTAGTAGTAGTAGTAGTAGTAGTAGTACTAGTAGTAATAGTTCAATTATATTTCATTGGTATCATTCTGTGGAAGGAAAAAAAAAGAAAAAAAAATTGAAAAATATCTCATTAAAAGTTTATTTTCATAAAGATACATACGGTATTTTTTAAAAATATAAAATTTTTGTTTGGTTAGAAAAGGTAAAAGTCAATTAATTTGATTAATTCTTCAATTTCAATTTTCTAACTAATATCATTGAAATGTTTGGGATATGTTTGATGATTACTACTTTTCCATCTATCTGATATACAACTGATAAAAAACATTGATAAGAAAGGATTTAAAGTACAATGAAATAGAAGTATGATAATATGTTTGAAATTATCTTATCTCAAATATTCTGAAAATATTAAAAAAAAAAGTTTACAAATGAAAATATTGTTAACAAAATAGTTGAACAAATTTGCTTAAATTTCAATGATTCTTCTTCTCTTAGTGATAATAAAATTTTTTTAATTATTTTTTTTTTTTTTTTTTAAAAAACAACATATATTTGTCCATCAGAGATAGAAGGAATAAATATCAGAAAATGGCGAAGGAAGTGGGAGGCCAGCAGGTGGTCATTAACAAATACAAGGAAAAGGGATAAGTAGTAGTAGTAGTAGTAGTAGCAGTAGTAGAACGACATTTACCTGACAATTTCATCTATTCATCCATCTAAAAAGGCAATTATTTGATTTCCTGTCTGTCCTATCATTTTATTATTTTCTTTTTAATCTTTTTTTATTTTTGTAAAACTGTTTGCTATTTTTTTTTTGCTTCTTCTTTTCCGCTAAAATGAGCAATTCATCTATTTATTTCATCTATTCCTCTTTTTTTTTTTTTCGTGGAATTTTAAAAGTTAGAATATAAAAAAAAAAAATAGTAGCAATATGAAATGTTCGCTCAATTTTTTATTAAAAAAAAAAAAAAAAAAAAAGAAGAGATAAATTTGAAGAAAGAAAAAAAGAAGAAGAATGAATTTCCTTGTGGGTATTCAAATTTTCATCTTTTTAAAGCTCTAATTTTCTTTTCGTTTCTTTTTTTTCTTCTTCTTGACTTCTTTCTATCTCTTACATTTCAAATATTGTTCACCTTTTAAATGTGCTGAATAATTAAATTCCTTATATGGATTATGATTTCCGGTTATTCCGTTAAAAATGTTTTTTGAGTAAATATTATTATTATCAAATCAAATGTATTTCTAAAGCTTAATTCAATTCAATTCAAATGAACACTTTTAACAGATATTAGAAATGAATAAGATACATGAATTCATATTTTGATAGGATAAATGATAAATGTTGGGTAAATACATGAAATAATTGAGAAAAGAAATTAAAAAATTAGAAATAAATTTTGTTGTTTTATTTGTTTTAATTGATTTTAATTTTAATACATATTTAATTCTTTCTCATCTTTATACTTTCTTTTTTTATCACTAAAGGGTAAAAATATTGGAAACTAAAAAAAAAGATAAGTAAACAATTTCAGTCATTAAAAATGATTGAAATTAATTAATCTTTTTCGATCATTAATGATTTAAAAAAGTATTAAAGTGAAAGTAAAAAAAAAAAGTAACTTATAAACTATCATAAAAATATTTTTGTTTTGAATGCAAAAGAAAAAATAGAATGTAAAGATGAAAATATATGTGATTAACATTATGTACAAATAGAAAAAGGAAGAGAGAAATGAGTTCAAATTAAATTATTCATATTATTAGTAAATTATATACAATTTACAAATTTTATTAAATTGTGTAAAAAATGAGTAAGTAAATACTTATTCCATTCATTAATAATTGATAATAGATTGTTAGCAAATTAAACTTTCAATAATTCTAAATAGTTTTTTTTTTTTCTTTTTTTAAAAAAGGGAAGGTATTAAGATAATACAAATGATAAGTGCTTATCAAGATACAAAAAAAGTTGCAATCTTTTTCTTTTTTTTTTTCACATCAAAATATTATGAACAAACTAATTGATTGAATTTTAAATGATTAAATTAAAATTTTGAAAATGACATAATGGAAGGAAACATTTTCAATCCTACAAATTATAATTTTATCGTATTATCTTTGGAAATATTATGAGAAATGAAATGAATAGGGAAATGAAATTGTAACCGCCGGAAATATATTTTAATTGCAAGTGGAAACCCATCGATGCCTGAGACACGTATTGCATTTCAGGTGACAACACCAAACAAATTGACAGTCACACTGATATGATATTAGTTCATGTGATACCTAGAAATTCAATGTATGATAGTAGTAATACTCAAATGTATATATTTAAATATATTAACTGAAAATTAAATTGAAAATTTAATTTTAAAATTACAATTTTCATATCAGTATAGTTTAATTTTTTGAACTAATTGTGTTAGCAAGTAAGCGTAAAATAAATTTAAAAAAAAAGAACCTTAAAGCCACGTCCACAACATAGTAAGCCACAATCACCTTGGCTACTTGTCTCATTTCTCCAGCTACAAACCCTATTTGTTATTCGAGTTGAACGACATGGATCAGGACTATCTTCCATATATACTAATTCTGCATTTTTAGCTGGTGAATTAACATCCGGAAGTCTTCTAGCCTTAAAATAATAATTTTGAAATTTAAAAAAAAAAAAAAAAAAAACAAGGTTTATTTTGAAGAAAAAAAAAAACTGTTAATGAGTAAAATTAAAAATTAGATTAATTTATTATTATGTATATATGAAAACTTAATCATTTTTAGTAATATGTTTTTTAATTTATAAATTATTAATTTATATTTTGTTATATTTTTAAATCACTTATTAATTTATATATGAAAACCTTAATCATTTTATTAGTAATATGTTGTACAATAGTTGATAATGCAGCAGTTTTTTTCCAGCAAGTTTTTTGATCACAACTTCCACTTACACCATGACATTTACAAGATGATATTAATGTTTTTTTTACCGCCTGAAATTTAAATAAATACTTTTAAAAATTTGGCATTAAATAAATTTATTAATTAACAACGAATTAAAACGTTTTGCTTTAATTTACTTATTGGCTAGCATTTATTTCAAACTAAAATATATGCAAAATTGAAATGCACTTTTAAATAAAAAGAACAAAAATTTCATATATACTTATACTTTAATTTTCTAAACAAATATATTATTGTAATAATGAAAAAAGAATTTTTTTTGAATACTTTGATAGTAAAAGATTTCGATTATTTCTTCAAAAAAAAACGATAAATTCAAAATAATTAAGAGAAATCTAGAAAATGAGAGAATTCATACCAATCTTCCGGCTTTTAAATTATGCTTTTCCAGTTTTCTTAATGGTGATCGAGAAGTAGCACTTCTTGTAAGCAATTTTCTGGATGTTATTATTCCGAATTGTACACCGTATGAGCAACCACCCCATTCCCAGTTTTGTTTCAATTCATCACGTCCGCTGCATGAGCAATCAGGTAGCCAACCTTGCGAGCATGCAGTTGCAACACCCCATGCTGCACCAGCTGATGATAATGCCCATAGATATGCTGATTCTCGAGTTCCTCAACAAATAAATATATTATCATGATAATGAGAAATTCTCGCAATTAATACTTTTCAATTATCAATTTAATAAAGAGTAATAAATTTTGTAAATTTTCAATTTAATTAAATCTGAAATTAAGATGAATTTAATTATACCAAGACGAAGAATAGGTGGATCTTGTAATACGGTAATAACTTGGGAACAATCCCACGGTTGAAAGCGCATCTGTTCCTTGCATTGGCTCATTGCATCTTGCATTCCTTCGTAAGCTGCGACAGCTATCGCAGGTTGACTGCGACACAATACATGAAAATGTCGATGGGATCGTAAATGGAGTAGCTCTGGTGAACATCCCTAACATAAGCAATCATTATGATTATCAGTATCTGATATTTATGTGACACAAATGTCACATAAATTAACAATTACTAATGATGCAATGCTTTGGAAAATTCTGCTAACAAAAAGTTGAAGGTAAGTTTTATTTCAAGAAAGAATAAAGAATCACAGAATTAAGTTTTATTTTAAGAAGCAATAAAGATTCCCAAAATTATATAAATTATCATATAAACTAGCTAACTACTAATGATGCAGAGTTATGGGAAAAATTCTGCTAACAAAAAATTGAAATAAAGTTTTTGAAGTTTTATTTTAAAATGAAGCAGTTTTATGATGAAATAAAAGTTTTAACATGGATTTAAGTTTCATTTTAAGATGAAAATGAAAAAATCTCAAAATTTTTACAATTTTTTAAGATTTAATTTTACCTGAGTCAATTTTTCGGGCGGTGTTGTAGGAACACCGTAAGCCTTCTTCTCTAGCAATAATAATACACATAACAAATAACCATACAGTAATGGCGTATAATTTTCAACTAAAATTATTATGATTGATAACTTATTGCATTGATGAATCAAATCTATTTCTATCTTTTCTTTTTTTTTTTTTTTTTGCGAAAAATTTTTTTAAAAATATCAAAATTTGTAAGAATTAATAAAAATTCTTTTTTTTTTTATCTTAATAGAACTGATTATTTATATGATATGATCCGATCAAAATATCATTTTAATAATGCTATAAAATAAAAATGATTTTTTATATTATCATCTTAAAATTTTCAAAGCTTATCTTAAATTCATACAAAAAGAGAAGAGAGTAGAATGTGAAGTAATTAGATAAAACTTATTTTCAAACAGATTAATTTGAATGTAAGTCTCATTTTTTTTAAAAATTCAAATGATTATATCAGTTTAATCTATTAATCAATTACAATTGAATACAGTTATCTATATTTGTTTATTTAACTGCTATTATCATTGCTAATATCATAAATGATCAATGATTTAAATGTGAAATTAAGTACAGTTCAAGGTTTTATGGATGTGAAGTTAACGATACTTGTGATATGAAGGAAATTGGTTGACGAAAACTAATGATGCATCAACAAAATTTGCTTTGAAATGCAAAAATGATTGAAAAGAAAAGCGAAGAAATGCCTTTCACTCACTTAAATTGATATTAGTTCTTTTCCTCACAAACCACATTTTCCCTTGCGGTTGGTTCCACTTCTGTACTGTTGTTTTATTCAATTTTTTCCTTCTTTTTTTTTTTTTTTTTTTTTTTTTTAAATTTAACAATGAAATAAATAAAATAGAGAAAAAGTTAGGGTTAAAAATAGAATGAATAATCAGTGATTAATTAATGGAAATTTACAGATTATATTAATTATATATAAACGAATAGCAGAGTAATTTTTAACAAATATAAATTGATAAGCAAATGCTTTAGTGATTATGGTAGAAGAAAAAAAAAAAAATAAGTAAATAAATCAGAAAAATCAAATCAGAGAATAATAGTTGATGAAATACTTTGAAGGGATTACTACTATTAATCAAACCAGATGTGCTTTATGAATGAAGCAAAAAATTTATTTTTTTCTTTTCAGCAGAAATATACCTCAGTAAATAACAGCAAATTTTACAAGTGAAATTAAAATAGCAATGGATGGCTATAATTTCATGGATTTAATTGTAATAGAGCAAAGTGATAAAACGAGTAGTTTCTTTTGTTTGGACAGGTTTAACAATAGCCACAGCGAGTAGTAATGGAGCAAAGTTTACAATCTCGAAGAAAGGGATCGCACTATTACTAGTGCCCCCTCCCTTAAATCACACACAAAAATTCTTAAAAGTTTCTTCGTAGAAAGAATACTTTAATTACTTAATATAACTTCTTCTTCTTCTTTTCTTTTTTTCCCTCTCTCTCTCTCTCTCTCTCTTCCTATTTTTTTCTTTACAACTTCCCTGATTTCGTTTTTTTCTTTTTCTTTCTTTTTTTTTTTCCACCCAAATGACAGTAATATTAGAATAAGTAGAATTTAAGTATAAAATAATTTTAGTAACAATATATTAATAAACTTTTACAGACCACCCAAATAATTTTTGTATGGAAATTTATGCAAATTACGATGGAATTGAAGGCAAAAAAATTAGGTTGAAACAGCCATCTTGTTGTATCTCTGTGACACAGTAGTACCATCGATTCAGGTGCATCATGAATCAGTGAACAAATACACACATACATACATACACAAAATTCAAAAACTTCCCTCCCTCATTCTTTTTCAAGGTATCCTCCTCCTCCTTCTTCCTTCCTTCTTCCTCTTCCCTTCCTCCTCCCTCAAATTTATCTTACCTTCCCTTCTAACAATTACATCTCTTTTATCAATTTTTCATTCATTCATTCATTCTCTTTTAAAATCATTTTTGCAGCGGTAAAATGCTCAGTTATCACAAATTTTTGTGACTTTCGATGTAAAATTTCAAATTAAAAACGATTGAAATTCAAGTTTTATTAATGTGTCTATCGAAAATGATCCTCTTCCTACCGTATCACTTCAATAATTTTATGCAATGAATGAATTAATGGGCGGTGCTATTCCTTCGTACCTATCAAACCCTGGTGTGCCTGTGCCTGTGTGTGTGTGTGTTTTCTTCTTCTTCTCTCTCTCTCTCTCTCTTCTCTCTGTAAAAAAAATTTTTTTTTTTATTTTTAATTTAAAATTTACGATCTTAGTTGTTGAGAAGACCGGAAGGCATGTATAATATTCATTTTTAAATTGAATCATCATTCTAAAAATTTTCTTCTTATTCATTTATATTTATTATTTAAATTTAAAATTTTCAATTATTCACTAATTTACAAACATTTATTCTTATTATTTTACCTTATTTGATAATTTTTATTAATATTATTATTAATTATTTGATAGTTGCATTTTTTTTAATTATTAATTAACAAAAAATTATCAAAGATAATTCTCATTAATAATTTGAAAATATTCTCTCTCTCTCTTTCTTTTTTGCAGCATTTGTAAACGTTTTCTCATTAAATTGATAATTTTAGCTTAATTTATTGTTTTTTTTTTTTTTTTCATTATCATTTTGTTAATAAATTAAATATTTTTAATTTAAATGTAATTTATGCTACAAATTAATCTGAATCAATTTTTATTTGATTTCCCACACAGTTAGTGCATTTTTCAAGGTCAAAATGAATTATCATTTAAAACGATTCGATTAGGTTTGTTGTATTCGTTGTGGTGCTTAACTGCTTTAAATTTGAATGATATTAAAAAAAAAAAAAAATTTTTTTTATTTTTTCAGACAAAATTTTTAAGCAAAAACAATTTTTTTTTTTCACACTTTAATTACTCCATCAATTTTTTTTTAACCTTGAATTTTGAAATGTAAAAGATAGAGATAATTGTACCGTAATAATTTTTTTAGAATTAACTTTGTTTAATTTCTTACACGGTAAATAATCTGATAGTGAAAATAATTGTTTATCAAATTTTTATAACTGATTTTAAACATTGTGAAAGAAAGATTTCAGATTTTTTTAATTTGAAAGATTCACACAAATAATTAATCAACAAAATAAAAAAATATATATATATTCAAATGTTTGCAATTAATTTCATATTTTTGATTGGAAACAATTACTGTTAAATCTTTTTCAGTATTTCACATTATTAAAATTAAGATTTTAATCGTCGACGAGATTTTCCATTACGCATTGTCCAATTCCGAGTATCAATAAACCACAATGGTACCACTCTGTAAATAAAAAATTGATTATATTTTGCAAGTGATTGCCGTTGAGTGAAAAATATTTACCTTATCATTTGCTTTATCACATACAAGCTGATTAATTGTTGCTGTAATTTTTATTGGATGTAAGAAAGAATGTAGGAAGGAAAGTAGTGATAAGATTGTGTGATAAGAAACATATGTGTCATATATGTCAAATATTTTATATCAAAAAATGTCTCAAATTTCATTCTATAATAATTCTTTGATGAAATGCAAGCAAAATTATAAAAAGTAAAACAGAACAACAATTCTTTATTATTACTTATCAGAAAGAATTTGTATCAAAGAATTAAAAATTTGTTTGTTTATTTTTAGTGTGTTAAATTTGTTTTTTCATATATTGTCTTTTATCATTGATTAGTGTAGTAATATCGTTTATTAAATGATATTATAATAATGTTGAAAATGGTGATAATATTTTCTAGGTCATGATTATACGAGAGGACAAATAGATTAAAGATAAATTTTACGGTTTAATTATTAATTGAATTTGTAAAGTAAGTCTATTATGAGTATATAATCATGTGTTATGTCATCAAGATTCTACTTCTTACTACCTAATTATTTAATTATTATATTTTAAAAGCGCATAAAAGATACTTGCGCCGCATGCTTCGTTCGTTTCGTGGTCTTAGACATGTTACCCGTGAGGTTGGTAAAGCGTTGGAACGTCGAATACGACGTGATCGTAACAATGATTCCATAATAGCATCACCGATCATTTCGAATGGTACCACTTTTGCCTCACAATAACGTCGTCGACAGCTTCCGAATGCCGAAACGCAGTGACATTTAATTTTTAAAGTAACACGCTGCAACTTCCGTTCTATTTGAATTATTGTAAAAAAAAAAAAAAGAAAAAAAAAGAATTTAAATTTGAATGTTTTGATTTTGAAATGTATTAGAAAGGCTAAAATGAGACAAAAATGATAAATAAATTGGCGAAGTTTCAATATTTTAAAATATTAAGGTGACAAATTTCAACAAATGATACTCACCGATCTACCAACAGCAATGTTGTGCAAATAGATTTGTGCTACTCGATCAGAGTAATAGCAAACAAATTGACGATCAATTAAACGTCTGAAAAAAAAATTTAAAAAGAAAAAAAAAATTATTTCTAAATATTAAAAGTTTTACTTTTTAGTTACAATATGATTTTATTTAAATTATTTTAATTTATTTTTTTGTTTTAATTTTGATAATCAATGAGAAAACAGAAAGAAAATGAAAGAATTGAAATAGTTCAATGGAAAAATGCAATTTAAATTGTAAATAAATTATGGAAAAAAAATTAAATGGATCAAAAATTTTTTGGAAAAATTAGGGATGAATATTGAAATATACACATGAAATTTTATTTTCATTCATATTTTTTGAAGCGTTCTAAATTATGCAGAATGGAATTCTTCTTTTATTGCAATTTTTTTTTTTTAATTCAAATACATATTCATAACATCAAAATTAAATTTAGAGCAATAGTGAATTTATTTTTTCCTCAAAAAAAAAAAAAAAAAGTGAGAAGATTAGAAGTAAATTTCTTAAAAAATAATTTTCAGTGTAAACTTAATACTGCTAAGAAAGAAATGCGAAATTTTATCTGATAAAATTAGAATTAAATTTAAATCTAAAATTTGTGATAATGCAATAACAAAAAAATTGACAGTGTAAAAATAATAAAAGTTAAATTATTTTAGGACTCAATTTAATTACTTTACAAAAAAAAAAAGAAATATTATTTTCTTCTACAAAATAAAAAACTGTCACATCAAATTATTTACAAAAAAAAAAAAAAAAAAAGTGACAAAAAAAAAATAATTTGAACTTCATTTTAGCTGATAACAAAAGAATTGTTCCATTTATAACAAAAATTATTCAAACTGATATACTTATCATTTATCATAAATCTTTTATAAGTAAGTAATGGTTGTGATCTAATCGATTGAAACGAGTATAATACACTGAGATCAATTTTATGAATTAATCATTTTTGATAAACCTTAGCTAAGTTTAATTTTAATTTTAATTTTAATTTAAAGAAGGAAAGTTAAATAAAAGATTTGAATGATTGGTTAAAAAACTTTTTATTTTAAAAAGTCATACTTTGACAATTTTACAGCATAACGTAAATTATCCGATCCTCGATCAACACCACATCTTATCCACATATCACGCTGATCTGCGTGTACCGGACCGATCTTTGCCGGATCGCAAGAACATGATCGAAGGCGTCCACGAGCACAAGCATGAGCTATAGCACGTACAGCTGCAGCACTGGAAAGTGCTAGGAAATATGCAAATTCTTTACTGGCTGAAATTTAGTTTCAAATTTATTACAAAATAAAAATTAGGAAAAAATAGAATTTAAATAATACCTAACTAATTTGCAGGATTAAACAAAAAAATAATAATTTATAAACAAAACTTATTTTATATAATTTTTAATTGAAAATTGTTGAATTTGTTATTAATAAATTTAAAAAATTACGCAAATGTATAAACCGGAAGATAATTCCGGTTTATCTAAGCAATATCACTTACCAAATGATGCAACGTTAGAGAAAAGTGTCTTTCGAGGTATTCCGTCAACATTACATTTCCAATGATGAATAACTGATTGCCGTGAACATTCACGCAACGTATCCTGTAGTGCCTCTTTCAGGACATCAATCAAAACCGGATCCTTCTGTAGAATACGGTATAACGGTTTGTCCAATAATCCTTTCACCTACAATTTATATTAATTTTCTCCTTTTTATATTTTATACCACCAAAATTTATTTCCAACTAATTTGCATAGGGTTAAAGGTTAAGATATTATCGATAATACTTTGTACTTTATCATTTTAGTTTCAAATTTTCTGCTAATTAAGCCCTGATAATAATTATTTTTAAATATTAGAATATAAAAATATGCAAGTAGAGCAATGAATAATATTTTTTTTTTAAAACAATTAGTTTCTCTGCAAACGAAATTAACCACAAAAAATATTTTGCAAAAATTAGAAAAAATAAAAGCACAAATTTTTACAATTTTTTACACTTTCAAATTATGATTGAAAAATATTAAATGAATTTCAATTTCCTATTTTTCACATAGATTTTAAATTGCAAAATTTATGATTAATTGATAACAACAAAAAAAAAAAGAAAACCTCAAGAAGTGATGAATGAATCCAATAAACTTTCCTGAAAATTACACAATTCTATAAATACAATTACATTTTGAAGATTAAATAAAATGTAATTAATTAATTAATTAAATGATTGTTTACATACAATGATAAATTTTTAGTTTTATAATTTTATGTAATTAAAAAATTTTTTGAAAATTTTAAATAAAATAAATCCTTACCACCATTGAGGCTCATCAAGAGCAAATAATGTTACAGTTAAATTAGTAAGTGTTAAAAAATACAAAGATAATAATGCTGGTGTCACTAATAAAATGCGCATATTGTAGTAATATGACACTAAGCGCTTCTTTCCTTTCTTACAAACATCTGTGTGTATGTTTATTCAAAATATTCATATTACTGATTTGCAAAATGCATAAGAAATTATATTTCATTCTCAGACATTTATTTCTGTAATCGAATCGTCGTTTTCTTTATTTCATTATGCCTTTTCCCTTTCATTTCATTTCGTTTTTTTCTTTTTTTCATCATTTTCCTCTCATAACTTCCGCTTTTTTTTTTCTCTTTTTTGAAATTTTCTCCCACTACTTTTTATTCTTTTATTCTTTTTTTTTTTTTCGAATAAAATATGCAAAATTAAAAGAACAAGAATGATTAACTGATTTGATTGATTGATTGATTGATTGATTGATTGATCGATTGATGAATAATAATTATAGTATTGTTTTAAGACCAAAGAAACAGCAAAAAATGGTATATATATATACATTATGCAAAAAAAAAAAAAAATGGATTATAGTAGTATATAAAGAATGAAAGTAAATAAAAAGTTTACTTCGATATGAAAATAAATTGAAAATATTATAGCACTAATCTTTTAGATATTTACTATTTTAATTGGAAATAAATGAATTAATGCATAATTTCATTAACGATTAATTAATTAGTTAATTAATTAATTAAATATTATCATTTTCAAAAATCCATTAAATATATATTTTTTCTTTTTATTACTTTATGTATAAACACAATAATCTGCCAAATACAAACTTCGACATCAATTTGATCAATATTTAACTTTTTATTGCTGTTATCAAATGTTTCCATTTATCATATCAGTTCTCGGTTTTCTCATTCTACTCTCTCTCTCTCTCTCTCTCTCGTTTTTTTGCATTCTCTTTGTGTCGTTTTTGTTTTTATGTGTACGAAAGAAAAAAATTTCTCTGAATTTATGCGAGATGATAAGTGTGACATTCATATATGTCACACTTATCATTTTGATTGACTATTTATACGTACGTCAAAGACGTGTTTTACACGTTACTTTAATTCACTGTAGTATTTGGATGATCTCGTAAAGAAAAAGGATAAGATTCAGTAAAACTGGATGGATGGTGAAACAGTATTGATGACAACGACTAGTTTCTGTGATGTAATGTTTATTCAAGGTATGTGCAGGTGTGTGCAGGTGCGTGTGCGTGTGCGTGTGAGACAAGCAGACAACAGCGCCCCAGCAACTTGTCTCGATTTGATGATGAAAATGCTTTAGCCATCTCTAACAAATATTTCATCATTTTCGATATATTATTATTTTTGTTACTTACCTTAAGTTTTACTTTTTATATTTGCTTATGCTTAATGTGATCTTATGATTGAAATTTTTGACAATCTCATTTTTTTTTTTTTTTTTTTTTGTGCGGAAATGTAAACAATTAGTAATTATTGATCTGATGATAAGAGTAAAAGCTATAAAATGCTATGTTTTCAGAAATTAAATGAAATTTATTGAAATATAATAATTAATTACATTTATTATAATTCATTTGTACAATTTTAAAATCTAATTCTTCTTGTTGATTTATTTATTTTCTTAGCCAAATTTTATTTTCATATTTTTGACATTTTACTAGAAATGATAATAAAATATTTCAGGAATGTCAGTTAAAAAAGTTATCCATGGCCATGTATTCATTGATATGAAGACAAGAATTACCAGTTATGGCCCACATAATGGTATCATTGTTCATTGTGGCATTCAACAAGAGCCTAGTACGTTTTGGCCATATGTTCTCAGTAATGCATCAAATTCTTTATGCACTCAACAATTGAATATAGCGCCAACATCTGCTACAATTCATTGGCCAACTGTTAAGGAAAGCGATGATAATCAACAAGACAAAGCTACCTCATCTCTATCAAATCAGCATTATCAGTTAACTGATAAGGATAGAATTTCAGCCAATAATTTCAATGACTCTAAAAAAGTGCGTTTAAATGTTTTCGAAACAAAACAAACCGTTTTCGAAACGGTTTGTTTTGAAATTAGTTCCTTTTAATTTACATTTTTTTTTTTCCAATAATAAATAAATTGGTAGTATCTAAGAAATGGTTATCTGATTTTTTACTCTAAATAGATGGAAGATTTTTTTTTTCTTCAAATATGATAGAGAAGTAAATTTGTTATAATGTAAATTTGATGATTTGAATACATGAAAGCTCTCTAAAGTTTACTTTTTAAAGCAATTTTTAAGATTATTTATATGCTATGATAAGTACTTATCAATTTAAATTCAATAAATGTATGCATATTATAACAAATTAAATATATTACATATCCTATCTTATTTTAGAATCCAATGAAAATTAAACTTAAATCGCTCAATATGACATCAAACAATTGCAAATCAAATTTGAATAATGCAAGTGCTAAAATTTCTAATGGCAATATTTCAAGTACGAAGGATGCACCTTTAACAAATGCGCAAAATGTTAATTGTCATCATAATGAAGAAAGAGCTATGAAGAAAAATGATTTAAATGAAAATATAAGGTGATACTTTTGTAAATTTCAACATTAACATTACTTCTTTCATATTACCTAGAATGTTACTTATAAATTTTTGAGTAAATTTTACAAATTACAAAAAAAAAAAAAAAATGAAATATATTTTAGGCCAGAATCTATGATATATTCTGAAAGAAATGGTCAAAATACTTCATCAATTATTCCAATGGAATATTCCACTAAAAGAAAATTTATCAATTGCAAATATTACAATGAATTCAATGATGAAATTATGAAGTACGATTATAATCAAATTAAAAAAGAGTTTGTGACAGATTCGTCTTTGATCAAAATTCCTGTGACAATAAATCCTTCAAAAATTGCTAATGAATTTACGAATGATTTTAAATTAGATTGGCAGCAAAGCAATGATCGTAGGTTCTCGAAAAATTTACCTTACTCATTTGCATCTTCTTTGAATCAAAAACGACAATCGTACAGAAATATACCGGATTTATTTCAAAAGCAACCGAATCACAAAAATGTACCGGAGCAACTTTATCATTTATATGAAACACAAGATGCCTTTGGAAATCCATTGAAACAATTGTGAATTTTTTTTCTCTCTCTCTCTCTTTCTTGTTATTGTTGTTTAATTTTTGTATGATAAGTTTTTTTTTTTATTATAATTCAAGGTATTAAATTTTAATAATTTAAATTTTCAAAGTATTTTGAGAAATTTGAAATGAAGAGAAGTGCTATCTAAATTTTCCATTTGAATAACAAATTCAAATTTGCATTTCATTTCATGCACAGATGTTAGTTATTTCCTTTTTTTCTCTTTTTTTTAGTGAAATGGAAGTTGAAATAAGCGAACAGCCATTGTTGAACATTTCAAAGAAACATCTCAGTACTAACTATGATCAATATAATAGAAATTTAAATGATGATATTGGTCTATCTCTAATTTCTGACAATTTTAAATCGAAATCGAAATTGAAATTGAAAGATGGTCATTATACGGAATCACAACCGGAATATCTTCAACCTTCCAGTAACAATATATTCAATGATACTGAACTCTTGCGACATCATTGCGATTCGCTATCTGTTCGATCAGAAATTCCAACACAATTGAAAGTACAAGAAAGTACTGTTCGTACAGAATTAAACGAAAATAAAATTTCAGTTAATGAAGGCAAAAATATTTCTGAAAAGACTGCATCAAAACTCTCAGAAGTTTTGTCGACAATGAATTGTCAACGATTGGAAATGACAGCTAAAGAAAGATCACGCGATAATAATCGAGAATTGATGATAGAAGAAGGAAAGAACTTCGAGAATATCTTCGGGAAATTGAAAGCAGACAATAATGGAGGAGTAAACAATGCTGGGATAACTTCAATTAAACCAATTTTACATACATCATCTCGAAAAAGTAGCATAAGAAAAAAAGTTCAATTTCCGGTTGAATGGCCACAAGTAATTGCATTGGAGCATCGTCTCCTAATTGATGATCTTCATTTGGTATAAAATTTTATCAACTTTTTGGAATTCTCAAAAAGAAAAGTTTATTATGAGAGAAAATGATAATTTAGTAAAACATTAATTTCACAAAATTCCATTATAAAATTTTTGATGAAAATTAAAAATTTTGAAGCAATTTTTTTTTGCAAAATTCAATTGAAATCATTTCAACGAAGAATTTTTTTACTTTGCATTTTTTTTATATTCCTATCCGAGTGTTATTTTGTCATATTTTGTCAGTGAATTTGATAAAAGCATTTCTTTTAATTTACTCCTCGCATAACTCTCAACAAATATTTTTTGTATAAAACCATTTTGGTTTCATAAAATATTTTCTTTTTTTTTATGAAAATTGTAAATACAGAATAATTTTGGGAAACTTTTAAATAAGTGATGCAAAGAATGCAAAGCTATGCATAAATTACGTATAAATAAATTACGTAAATTATGCATAAATGTAAGAATACAATTTTACGTAAGTTACGCATAGATGTAGAAATACAATGCTACGTAAATTGTGTATAAATATAGGAATGTAATGCTACGTAAATTACGTATAAATGTAACAATGAAATGGTACGTAAATTACGCATAAATGTAAGAATACAATGCTGCGTAAATTACGCATAAATAAGTCATAAACATTCATAGGATCATATTAGCAAAGTAATGATTAACATTTGGCTCACTTCTATGGCTCAATATGTTTAGTTTAGCCCAGAGAATGGGTAAGACTCAGAATTGATGGGTAAAACTAATTCTCTGAATTCGTCAATTTATCTATTTCAACTTATTTTAACAAGGAAACATTGAAATAATTGCATCCTTCTCTCATGAACATCTCATTAGCAAAGCTAATTGTAATCCATTAACTGTACGCGCTGATTTAATTGAATCTAAGCGACATCGATCCGTTTTCATTACCTTAAAAATTTGACTCCTATTAATATATTGAATAATTGAGATAAATTATGCAAGATATTTCTAAATTATATCAAAAGAATGAAATGATCAAAATTAGAAAAGTCATCTTTATCATAATATTTGATCAATTATAATTTTACAAATGAATATTTAGATCAAAAAAATACCCCATAATATATGCCAATATCAATTTTGATAATATTATGTGATATTGTTATCAGAGATAATTGTTTAGTCTTTGTGAAAAATTTTTTCACATAATCAAAACAACTGCAAGGTTGTAATGTTTCACCAAATGATGGTCGATTATAATATTGTATGAGTGTATTTCGAAGTCGATTAAATTTGAAAAAACAATTCGAGCATGGAATGAATATTTCACTACCATTTGATTTTAAACCCTGCAATCGATATTTGAAAATTTTTGTTTTTTTTCAAAACTTTCTTCCTTTTTTTTTTTGCATTTTGGATTGTCAAAATGATTTAAAACATTTAAAATATTGTGCATATTCTATGCTATCGTACGTGTTTTTTAACGTGGTATTTTAACGTGTTTACTTTACTTATTAAATGTTAGAGAATAAAAGAAGAAAACAATTTCAATTTCATTGTTTAGTACTAGAGATTATAGCCATTAATTCATTAAATAATTTATCCAAATATTAATTAGAAATTAAAATGAACAAACCATGCGCACTGCAATTTCAGATGACAATGGTACAAGTACATATGCAATACTATGACGACTTTCCATATAATTCACATGGTAAATAATTATCATTCCAAAAATTGCCATTAATGATTCGAACATATTTTTTTATCAAAAATTTGCCTGTATAATATCAAAGAAGTAAGAAAAACTTTACTCGTTGAAACTTATAATTTCTTGAATTTTAAATTAATTCATTAATTCAGTCACAGAGTTATTGCTTTTTGATTGGTATTTTTGGATTAATGCATACCTTTCTGATTAGCTTACTGAAACTATGAAAAAGTTCTTTTGAAAAAAAAAAATAAGGAAAATAGAAGCGTTGCAATCGGTTATAAACAAACATTGAGCATAGATAGATTTTCTCACTTATTGAACATAGGAAATGGAAAAGATCTATTAAATGCCACCTGCTAATGTCAATTATATATTCTGCACCAAATTGTTACCTTACATTTTAGTGATTGATATAGCAATTGAGTCAATTCAGCAGCTAGTTAAGAGAGAAACGAGAATGATAGACGCTTCTTCCATTCCACACCCTTTTTTTTAAAAAATATAAAAATAAACGGGTGAGACATAACTGTTGCACAGTGGGTATGGAAAGGAGTGATATGATGTGGTGGCCAACAAAGTGTCAGTTATTAGCTGCTTGAGTGAGAGGTGAAAGGTCAGCGATGGACGATGATTTTATGGATGATCAAGATTATGGCTTGGTATGTATCTTACAATTTAACTTCATTTTATTCAGTTAATAAAATACAAGAAGATATATTGAAGATAAGTGAAAAGAGAATTCAGTCTCAATTTTAAGTTAATTCGTTGCAGGAATATTCAGATGATTCAGCCAGTGAACCGGATGTCGACTTGGAAAATCAGTATTATAACGCAAAAGCGTTAAAAGCTGAGAAGGAATTTGATAGTGCTTTGAAAACTTTCAAACATGTATTGGAGCTAGAAAGTGAAAAAGGAGAATGGGGTTTCAAAGCTCTCAAACAAATGGTCAAGATAACATTTGCTGCCGTAAGTTCATCTTTTCTAGTGTGTATGTTGATATTTCACTGCAAATAAGGATGAAACATCATCTTACAAGTAACTTCTCAGGACTAGAAATTATTTGTGGGATTTTTTTAGAATGAACTTTATGTTTGAAACACTCGTGTATTGTAGAATCGTTATGATGAAATGTTGAAGTATTATCGACAGTTACTTACTTACATTAAGTCAGCCGTTACGAAGAACTATTCAGAAAAGTCAATAAATTCAATTTTGGACTACATTTCGACATCAAAACAAATGGATTTGTTGCAAATATTTTACGAAACAACATTGGATGCATTAAAGGTAAAGGTCTTCTGGTTCCATTGTTCTATCTTTGGGATTCAGTTAAAGTAGTAGGCTATTATTTTCACTGTATTGCATTGTGTGGATAGTGTTCTTTTAGTAAACAATTAGTAGTGAGAATCTTTAAATTATGTGTTTTGTTTATGATCTCACTGTTTACCCCTGTTTCACATTATTTGTTTAGGATGCTAAGAATGAACGATTATGGTTCAAGACGAACACAAAGCTTGGAAAGTTGTATTTTGATCAAAAAGAATTTGGAAAGCTGGAGAAAATTATCAAACAGTTGAGAAATTCTTGTAAGGTGAGAGGTTTCTAGTGTGATTATGTTTTTCTTTTATTGAAGCTTTACTATATCTCGCAAAACTACAATTTTTGAATGTAGTTTTGAATCATTTTCGGAAATATTGCAACCAGAAAGTGGTCGTGAGTGAAAACAATTGTCATTTCAGAATGAACTCGGCGAAGAAGATCAGAAAAAGGGTACCCAGTTGCTTGAAATTTACGCCCTTGAAATTCAGATGTATACGGAACAGAAGAATAATAAAGCTCTGAAGGCACTCTACGAGCAAAGTTTGCATGTGAAAAGTGCAATACCACATCCACTTATTATGGGGGTCATTCGCGGTTTGTTTTATTCTCTTATCGTATTCTCACTTACATTCATATATTTCTTAAAAACTACTACATCTTAATTTTTTTTTTCTAGAATGTGGTGGAAAAATGCATCTACGAGAAAAGCAATTTGAAAAAGCCCATACCGATTTCTTCGAAGCTTTTAAAAATTATGATGAAAGTGGATCGGAGCGAAGAATTGCATGCTTGAAATATTTGGTGCTTGCAAATATGCTAATCAAGTAGGTCTCCGAGAGTGGATTTATGATTACTACTTTTAAAACATTATTAGCTACACATCCAAAAAAATATATTCGCTTATAATACATTTTTGATAAGTGATTGTTTTGTTTTTAGATCTGGAATAAATCCATTTGACAGTCAAGAAGCAAAACCGTTCCGCAATGATCCTGAAATAGTTGCAATGAATCAGCTTGTGAGTGCGTACCAAGACAATAACTTGATGCAGTTTGAGAGTATTCTTGAAGAAAATCGTGATGCCATTATGGCTGACCCATTCATTCGCGAGCATATTGAAGAGCTGCTCACCAACATTCGTTCGCAGGTTCTGTCATTACTTTTCACATTTTTGCAATGTACAGTGCGTTTAAGCAATTCATCGAATCTAACTGGATTCATTTCTAAGTTGCAGGTATTAATAGGCCTTTGTGTGCCATACTCTCGAATTTACTTGTCGTTTCTTGCCGAAGAACTTCGTGTTAAAGTGGAAGAGGTTGTGGTACTTCTTGCAGATTTGATTCTCGATGGTGCATTGAATGCAAAGATTGATGAAATTAATGGTGTTTTAATATCCGAATCAACAAATAAAGCAACACGGTATTTTTGTTTTATTCACATATTTGATAATAATTAGATGGTTCCGTACTTACTGAGTTTCGTTAAAGTACTTGTCTGAATTAGCTACGTAGCTCAAAACATTTTAGAATCAATTATCCAGTTCAAGCTCTGTGTCATATATATAGTTTGAACTAGGGAGAAAAGAAGTGGGAAGTGTAGAGAAATATTAATTTAAAATAGTCAATAAAATAAGGCAGAAAATCTGCTTCATCGAAATGGAATTCACTGAACTGCCATATTCTATGAGGCACAAATTCTGTTTCACTACCTGAGCACAAAGAACATGCTTACTACCAGTTAATACTGTATGATTTGCTGGTTTTGATTCATTTCCAAAGTTAAGTTTTGCAAAATCTTCAATGTCATTGTGTTATTGAGATCTTTTAGGTGCGCAGCGATTGCAAAATGCGCGAAACAGTTATCTTCACTTCACCTTTCAATTGTAGACAGGTGCTCATAACACTAACCTCAGTGAATCTTGCATTTACTTCCGTGATTGGGCTTCACTTGTGTTTCTGGCGTAATTCAACTGTATTTTCTTGAAGGACTGCATCTGATCTGCTTTGTTACGAGTGTTTCGCAGTTACTTATTTAGAATTCTTATTTTTTACATTTCACTTTGCTCATGATTGTATAATTGTTTGGTATATAAATTACGAAAAAATCCTTACCATTGGTTTGGTTCAACTTTCATGTTTTTTTTTTTTTTTTTTTTTTTTTCTACACCGCTTGTTAATAAATGATTATGCTGAAATGATTCAACGTTTGTAAAGGAAATGTCCACTATGTTTCAACTCAATATTTTTAATGTTTTGTCTTTCCTTTCTCATCTTATTTCCACTATTACCATACATTAATTATCTCAACGTCTTCTTCAGTAATTCAACTTTCACCCCAAAGGGTGAATGGGCCGTTCCTGGAAGTAGGTGCAATACCGGAACATTCCCTAAGTAATGCCTTCTTTTAAATACTATTAAAAATTTTGAAAAGTGGGGTAGAAATGCATCTCTCCTAGGTCCGTGAAGTTGTGCTTAAGAATTTGGATGCACAACCTTTTTGGCCTTCTGTTTTGTGAGCTTTTGTTTTCACAGCTTGTAATTTGCTGTGTGGAAAGAATGTGGATTAAAGAGGTCAGTGCAGAATTGTCAGATTTTTTTTTTCCGTATTAGGAACTGGATTGCTCGTTCGAAGCTTTCTAATCTAAAAACTGCGTTTTCAGTAATTCAGGAAATGGCTTCTTCATCTGCTGCATCCAACTCGTCGTCAGTAAATCCCATGCGGATTTCTGCGGCTGAGCGACGAAAGAAGGTCATTATATGATAGACTAATGCTTAAGAATGTACAAATATGTATATTTAACAAAAGACCACGAAAATTTGCATAAAGTCTTCCTTTTCCTCTTTCTTTTTTTTTCGATAGTGTGTTACACAGTGTAACTTGTTAATTTTTTTTTTCTCTCTCAAAGTTTTCCAAGATTTTCACTTCCCACTTTCCAAGCGATTATTTTTGCTCGGATAAGTTTCATTTTCTTTTTGTTGCTTTTTATAACATAAATGATAGTATTGTCCATGTATTTATAAATTGTTCTAGATAAGCACGATTTCGGAAATATGATAAATATAAGGAATAAGAAAGTTAAATTATAGGTTTTTTTGGGTCAATTACCAGATGATTTCTTGCGTATAACTACTCCATCGCCAGTTTCAGTTCAAAGGCAACAACAGCAGTCTGTGGTTCCTGTCTATATTACGGATCCTAATTTGGTTACTCAGCAATCTCTTTTGCAAGCACAGGTAACAAATTTGTTGTTTATAAGTTATATTCACTTATCAGCACTTTTTTAATAATATATTATTGAGAGGAGCAGAATGGCTTTTTGCTTCAGATATTTCGAAGTATCTTTTTAGCAGGCATTCTACAGCTTTGTACCTCCGAATACACGTGGTCGTCTTTCGATAACAGTCGTGAGTGCGAAGCTTGTAAAAAATTATGGTTTGGTGCGGATGGATCCTTACTGCTGTGTGCGAGTAGGGAATGCCGTTTTTGAAACACCAAAGGATACAAATGGTGGTAAAACACCGAAGTGGAATCGTATCATCAACTCCTATTTGCCATTTGGTGTTGAATCATTTTATCTTCAAATTTTTGATGAAGTTAGCATTTCTTTTTTATTCTTCGTATTTCAGATGCATTATCTATTCCCACTTTTTCAGTTTTTTCATTTATTCTTCAAACAATTTATTTTGAAGAAAGCATTCACTGCTGATGAATGCATTGCTTGGGCACATATAATACTTCCAAATGGTATATTCTGCGGTGAGATAATCGATGACTGGTATCAACTTTCTGGACAACAGGTAATTAGACAAATTTTCACGAAATTTTTGCTATTCGAAAATCTCTTCAATTTTAAAAGAAAGAAGTCAGTTATATTTTAGGCAAAAAAACTTAAGAAATAATTGACTTATGTACTGGTTTTTGCTCATTTAGGGTGAAGGCAAAGAAGGTGTCATAAATCTTATAACATCATTTACACCAGTTTAATCGACAGAATCGCAGAATAATACAACCACCTCAAACTCAACGACAAGGCGGTAGAATTTCATATCACATAAAATACGGGGTGTACATTTTCTTTGTTTAAAGATCACTACAGTATTGGATTTAAAGTTGTCTTTAAATCATTATCATTACAATGCACTGGAATAAATACTAATGAAAGAATGAGTCAAATAATCATCATTTAATGTTTTACAGCAACTAGTAGTGTTATGTAGAGAGCGGTGTTATTCCCAACAGTGAAAATGAATGACATCAGATGTATCCTTGAACAAAAGCTAGATAGCAAAACATCGCTGTTAGTATTTGAAATGAACGATCAGTATTAATCGAGTAATGTTTATGTACCTCCTTATGTTGTATTTTGTTGTTCAGGGAATTCGGGAATAGACTACACTGTCGGTTAAGGGAATATCTCCTAGTGTTTTCGTTGTTGCTTTCTGAAATAGGAACATGCATTGAAAAGGAGCCTTTCATACTAGCCAAAAACCTTTTTCATTCATGCAGTAAATAGAAAGACATTTGTTTTGAAGGAAGAATTGATTTTATCGTTTCACAATTTCTTGTAGATGTTTGTGAGTGGAGAACGAATAATAATTTTCCAATACAGGATTGAAAGGTACCAGTTTTATTGCATAATAAGATATAACAAAAGAAAGATTTTGTTTTAGAGATTTTCAATACTGCAAAAATATCTCACTGATGAATTTAACGTAATTTCAAGTGTCACTTACTTGTTTTCTAGTAATACAATCCATACATTATTTCTGGGTTCAATTACAATGCAATTCAACAAAAAATGGGGCAATAAAATAGTAAGAATAATGGCAAAATGGTATCTCATTTCGAGTAGTCAGTCCGATCACTAACACCGAACATATTGCATATGAGCTTTTCGAGCTGTTTATCCGTAATACATTTTCCTGAATTGAATTACACTACTCATGCAGATGTCGAATTCACTCTTTTCCTGAATTTGTCGAATTTTTCCTGACTATATAAGGCGTATGCTCTGCTTTGCGCATACTTTGCTCCTATTAATTATATCAACTGAATGTGAGTGATTTAGCCAGCGTTCACAGGAATTTCACGTCCGGAAAATAAGTTACCGGAGGCTATTTTCATTGCGGCCCGTATCCGTTTAAATAGGGCCGTGAAATGGATGTTTACGAGTTCCGATTTGTTCCGAAGGTATCGTAAATAGATGATGAGGAAGAGGTGGTGTGAAGGGTTATTTGTGTTTGATTGGGATGTTATTCTTTGATCTCTCTAGGTTGACTGTTATTGACAGAGCTTTGATGAATTAAATGACGTAAGTTAATTTTTAAGGGAATAGGAAGGCTTATTCGGGAATTCACACATACACGCCAAAGTTATCACTATTCTACAAAAAGTAATCTTTAAGTAGGAGTTGTAATTTAAAATTTAATATAGGGATTATTGTTTAATGATTATATGGCGAAATAGGGAAGAAATTTTTGCATATATCTTTCTCCTATCAAACAAAATATGACTATGAAGCGGATGTAAATTGGTCGAGAGTTTGACCTCTCTGGTCGAGAGTTCGACCTCTTTGTATATATGCTGAAGTTTGATTGACTCCATATCCTAATTGTGGGTAATAAACTGATGGAAATGTTATATTAGCTTGAGTCAAGCTAATATAACATTGAGTCAAAGTAATCAGTAGCAAAAGGAAAGAACTACTATGGGTGGTTTGATCTACTACTATTTCAGTTATGGGTCATTTGGCACCTGGTGGGTTACATTGAATTAACAGTCGATTTGATGTTCGGCTACATAATATACTCAGTTATTTTATAGCGTTTCATGTTTACAGAATAAATAATTCGATAAAAAATTGAAACAACAGGAGTTTGGCACTGGTGGCCCTACTAGACAAAATGGCTTGCCTTCAAAAACTAAGACAAGATGTTGCAATGCTAGAATCTCTGTTTCCAAAAGAACACGAACGTTTTCAGGTCGGTGAAATTTAACGCTGAAAAAAATATGAAGAGACATGCTTTTTTGCTAAAAACTTTTTATGTTTCTTTCATTTCAGGTACTTTCAGCATCAGTTGATGAGATTACAGTTCAGTTTATTAACCCTCAGAATAAACCAATCGTCGTCACAGCTAACGTTCTAGTAAGACTATGCATTTTGTATAAAGACTGATTAAAATTGTTATAAAAATTACTCATATATACTAACAAGTGTGAAATAAAAAGATTTTTCTAGCTGGTACCATTTGCATTATAATTTCTCTAAATTCTATAACTTTCATAAAAATTCGATCACTTATAAGATCGTTATTGGAGAACATTATTGCAGGAAAATTATCCACACGTTGCACCTATCTGGTTTAGTGAGTGTGATGATTCAACAGTTACAGCGATTTTGCAGTCACTTACTGAAGCAGAAGCACCATGTTACATTTTACTACAAACGCATGAACTTGTTTCACGCTTATGTTCCTACTATAATGTTACTATACCTACTGAATTGATCTCTATTGGCCCTGTAAGTTTTTGCTTTTTTTAGCTATCTTAAAATTTCGGAGATATGTGCCTATTTCTATATGCTTCTTTAGGTTAATCTTAATATATGTAAATTACATGAGAACCAAATAAACGATAGTGTACTGAAATGATTCAATTTGTAATGGAAATTTTTCAAATGATGCATTTATATTTAGATCTTTAGCGTTACTCTTTCTCTCAGAAAGATATATGATTCTTGCCCCCAGAAAGTAGAAATTACTGCCCAGAAAAATCAAAAAGTCCTTTTATCATTCTCTTAACAAATGCAAATATTTTGCTAATATAATTTTAGAGATATGCGGATTTTGGGTTATTTATAGGTTGGAGATGAAAGGGATGAAGGAATGGAGAGTGACGATGATTATATTTTAATGGAGGAAGAAACAACGTCACGTAAAGATGCCGGAGATGAAGAAGTATCCCATGCTTTCTTTTTCTATTCATAATATTCATAATTTGCTACTATCTGAATCGATATCATATATCATCCAATCATAATTTCAGGATTTGTCAGCAGAACAGAAAGCAATATTTGCGAGACTTAACCATGTACAGCGTGAGCAACATTTGACGGGAGCTGCAGCAGGTTCTGTGACAGCTACTGATAGACTAATGAAAGAACTGAAAGATATATATCGTTCGGATCATTTCAAGAACGGTGAATTTTTGGGATGCTTTTTTAAAATGTATTTTTATTTTTTCAAATATTTCAACTTTTCATTTTCATTTTAGGTGTATATTCGGTAGAGCTAGTAATGGATAGCCTTTATGAATGGCACGTGAAATTAAAAAAGTAAGTTCGTAATTTGCTGATTTACCCAATTTAATTTCGATGAATGTTTCTATTCTGCGAAATATTCTTCATTGAAGGGTGGATCCGGATAGCAGTTTAGCACACGACATGAAAGTGATGATAACGAAAGAAGCACAGGATTATATTTTATTTCATTTCCTGTTCAAGGATACATTTCCGTTCGTTATATGGCTCTATTTATAAGTGTGAAAATAATTTTATAACATATTTGTATCATAAGTTTTCTGATTAGATTTTACAATCGATTTCTGTACTAGCAAATATTACGTATCAATTGCATAACTTAGGTTGTACAGATCAAATTTAAGCGATTTCCTGCTAGGGATAGATAGCCTTGTTTGAATCTATGATAATGTTAAATTGGTTTACGTCGTGTTCCAGTTTCGAACCGCCATTTGTACGCTTAGTTTCTCCAACAATTACGAATGGATTTGTTTTGGGAGGTGGTGCTATCTGCATGGAACTTCTAACAAGGCAAGGGTGGTCAAGTGCTTATAGTATCGAATCTTTGATCTTACAAATTGCCGCTACTTTAGTAAAAGGAAAGGTCTGTCTCCTTACTTCTATATTGATAGAACAAATTAAAATGATGAAAAAATGAAAGTACTGCGGTTTGTTAAAATCTTTTTTAGTATGTCTGCGTGGAAACAAATTTTTTATATATCTAAATTGAATTGTGTTTTATTATCTGGAGAGCTGTTTTGTAAGGAAGGTGTTGTGAGATTTTTTTGAGAATTTTTTAGCAACATCAATTGTCCTAGTTGCTTAATTTACAGGCGCGCATCAATTTCTCAGTTAAAGGGCAGTATACTTTAGCGCGAGCGCAACATGCATTCTCATTGCTTGTGCAGACTCATGCAAAATCGGGATGGTTTACACCTCCTCAGGCAGATGGTTGATGAAATATAGCTAAAGTAATTGAATTCTAGTACCGGCAATCAATCATTCAAGCGCCATCTCTTACTGACTTATCTGTTTATTACAATTCGCTCTTTCATTGCTAGTACTTTTTTTTTTTTTTCCTTTTTGTGTATTATTTGTATGTTTCCCATCTTAAATGTTATTTGATATTTGATAGAATTTTTTTTAATATATCGTGTGTGTAGTGTGAGATTTTCTATTTTTTTTAAAAAAAAACCTCGCATTTTTCTTGTGAAATTTCTTTTCTAAACTGTATATTATATGCACCCATTAGTTAATTTATTTTAAAAAAGTAGGTAAATTATGTTTGTTCAGTGTGAACTTCAACACGTCTTAAAATCTTAATCTAAATGAATCAGTATACATATACTGATTCATTTAGATTAAGATTGGTTTTATTTCGTGACATACTATATCGCCAAATAAGAAAACATTTTTTTGGTTGATTATTTCACTGCGAATACTGTAGTTCTGTATACATACTGAGTCTATTAGTTTAGTTTAGGATGGCTCTATAATGAAAGTTCTACTGCTTTAAACGGTGTGATTTGATTGTGTTACAAATTATACTTTTATTTGCATATTGTATTGTATTTTTAATATCTATTTCTCTATTTGCTATAAAAAAAAATGTATTCCCTATTCACTTTATGCAGAAAATTGTTAGTAGAATAGAGGAATAGGGGATACAAGTTGCATTCAGGTCTTGGATAATCGAAGCTGCGATATAGTTCAATTTAATTGTTTTTTGGTTTATTGATTTAAGGATTTGTTTGTCGGTGCTCTCAGTGTTGCTTAAAAGCTGAATTTTTTTCTTTGGCAAAATAGAAGTAACTTAATCTGTCCAGTGTCGTGAAATTATAATTCATTTTATGAGAAATCATGAAATATTTTGCAGTATAAGATATAGATTCCTCTTCTCATTTCTCAACTGTCATTTATTTGTGTAATATGAATAAAATCAGAATGGCTCATTGTCTTCTTTTTTTTTGCTCATTTTGTGATACAGCAAATATCATTGATATATGGTTTCACTTAATTTAAGGATTGTTTGTCAAAGTGCAAAGTTTTTGGTCATTTATATTTCATTTTTTAGACGGAATAGAGTTTCAGTTAGTGCTTTTGTTTCAGTTTCCTTCTTTTTTTTTATTATTTGATGTGTGTGAGGCCTTGTCAACTGAAATGTGATGAAAGTGGTTTAGATCGTAACCGCAAAATAGATTTGTGGTCTATTTAATTTGGTGATAGCTGGGATTTTCAACTTTGTCTTTGGTAAAAAGTTGTTGCTTGAATAAGAAATATCATAGTTGGAGTTGCAGAAGTATTCTTCGGGAAATGTTCTGTTGTTTTATGGTATAACAAAGTTCGAAATGTTTTGGTTGATCATATTTATCACATGGTCAATATTCTTTTGGGATTTCTATCTTTCTATACGACAGGTAAGTTCCGGAATTTTTCGTCTAGTATTTCGAAAATTGTTAGTGGGTTGGCAAGATGGTTAAGCCATTAATTCCTTCTCTCCCTGTCGATCATTTCAAGTATTCTGAGAGAATTGAAAATTAAAGGAATGTTCCGCATAGTTCTACATATAAAAAAATCGAGATCGGAATAGATAATGATCAATTATACATATCAAGTGTCATAGAAGATAGCAGTGAAAGTCCATTAGTACAATGTTTGATGAGTCTGTAGTAAAATAAATTGTTTATTTTGTATTATGGTTAAAACTACTTAACTTAATCCAGAGTAGCAGCAAATTATCATTGTGTAGAATGGATAATGTTACACGACTTACTTATATAATAAAAAAAGTTTACAGTATCGTGTCCATCGTGATGCAGTGAAAAGGCCAGATGAAGTGAGCGAAATAATGAGTGAAGAAGAATATCGAAAAGCTCGGATATATAGACTTGACAAACATCACTTTTCTTTCGTCTACTCTATATATTCGCAGCTAGAGTTAATGGTAGATTGCATTTTCCTTTTTCAATCATTTGACTTAAGACATTTTTGTTAGGATAAGAATAAAATGCTTGATTTTGTTCTTTGAGCTGCTTTTTGTTGCTTTCAACTTGAGAAATTTTAGGTTATTCTGATATTCTATTTACCTCAAATTTTATGGAGCAAAAGTGGAAATTTCAATCTGAGATTTGGGTTTACAAGCGAAGTAAGTTCTTTGACACATGTGACAATAATTTTTCATTTTTCTACTTGTAAAGAAAGAAGAAAAGAGTTGTTAGAATATGTGTACTTTATTCGATTAAGTATACTACTACTCGAAAATCAATTGGATTATTGCTAATAGTTCATGAATTTATGTTAGAAAGATTTAAAGAACAAAAATTAAACCTTCCAGATTGCACAGACAATAACCTTTATATCATTAGTATCAATTATCGAATGTCTAATGAGTATACCATGGCAGCTTTACGATACATTCGTAATTGAGGAGAAGCACGGGTTTAATAAACAGGTCATTTTTATATAATTGAAACTTTTAGTAGATTGAAAATTTTATAAAAAAGGTTGAGCGGTTTTTTTTTTTTTGATAAAAAATGATGTGACTGTAATGCACATATTTTCAATTTAAGAGGAGAAGGAGTAAATAAGAAGAACTGTTCATGCAGTTAGTAAGTATGGATTTTGAATTATGTTTCAGAATGCTGAACAAAAGGTTCACAGTGTAAGTGAGCATCTATTTATTTAAGTGACAAATTAAAGATTTTATATGAACAGGGAATTTGCAGACATTGGGTTTTTTCCTAAAAGATAAAACTAAAAAGACGATAATATCATTATTCTTAATGGCACCGATAGTAGCTGCAATTGTCTATATTGTGGAACGTGGAGGACCATATTTCTTCCTTTATATTTGGATTTTCCTCTCAGTTGTCATTTTTGTATGTTTTTTTTTTCTTTGAATAAAAAGTTACGGTAACTATTTCATTTAATAGTAATTTTATGTTTGAAATTTCAGCTTTTGATGACGGTTTATCCTGAATTCATAGCGCCTTTATTCGACAAATATGTTCCACTTCCTGAGAGTGAACTGAAACAAAAAATCGAGAAACTTGCTAGAAGTCTAAATTTCCCACTGAAGAAGTTACTCGTTGTATATGGTAAAGTTGTTGAGGAAATTTGAATTCTTTATTTTTTTTTTCGCTAAATTTCGTATAATTGCGAGATTCTCGGGCAAAAATTTTTATGTTTCAGGTTCAAAACGATCAGCACATAGTAACGCTTATTTGTACGGTTTCTGGAATAATAAACGTATCGTACTTTATGACACGCTATTTGGTGAAGAAATGAGAGCAAAATTAAAGGAAACTGCTTGCTTCCCTACAGTTAGTTGTCATATTTATTGAAATATTGTTTATCCAACTTAATATTATTCAAGAAAATTAAACTAGCAAGTATATGAATTGCTGTCGTAGAAGGCAAATTATCTCGCAATACTTTCAGTCTAGGAGTCATTCATTTTAAAAACGCTAATAAATAAATTTAATAGCTTGATAATTTTAATCAGGAAAATGAGGAGAAAAGCTATGATAAGGGCGATGAGGAAATAAAGGAACGCAAATTAGGTATGCAAGACGATGAAGTTTTAGCCGTGCTAGGCCATGAATTTGGACATTGGGCTTTATGGCATGCAGTTATCCAGCTCTTCTTTGCTGAGGTAATTTTTATTGGATTTGAAATTTAATGATGTAGTGGGTAAAAAGAAACGCTATGTCAAAAGGGGATTTTCTTGTTTTTTAGTGATTTGAGTTTTACGAAAGTTTTGATTTTCCAATAATGTTTAGATAAATTTGTTGCTGCTACTTGCTATATTTGCGAAGTTCTATCAATCTACTTCACTTTTCCATGCATTTGGTTTCTATGATTCAAAACCAATAATTATCGGATTTATGATCGTTTTCCAGTACATCACAGCTCCTTATAATGAATTGTTCTCATTTCTAGCGACGGTTCGTCTTTGAAAATTGCCTTTATAATTTTATTTAATTGATTAGTCGCGGGTACTGTAGCCCCAAAAAGGCAACCTAAATTTGACAGTGTTTTTTCTTAATTTTTTTTGTTGGGAATATGGTAACCATGTTTTATATCTTGTGTACTTAATTTAAAAAAAAAAAAAAAAAATTAGGTCGTTCTGTATTCATTCTTGCATTTATAGATAATGTCGAGACGTTTGGAATTTGCTGCGGACCATTTCTCAGAGAAACTTGGTTATGGATATGAATTGCGTAAAGCATTAATTAAACTTGGCAAGGATAACTTGGTTTTACCAATTGATGATCCGCTCTATTCGATGTTTAATCATTCACATCCACCAGTACTAGAACGAATTGCTGCACTCAAAAAAGTTAAATGAGTTTTCCTTTTTTTTTGCTTGTTAAGAAATATTTATGAATTGTACTTCCGGTTTCCACTTTCCCAGTCTCCACCTTAACTTTCAATATGTTGATTTTGTTATTGCATGAAAATAAAATGTATAAATATATATATGTTCTTAGTGACACGATATCTAGTAAATAAAACTCTCCATCCATATTACTACAATAAGTGTATCGGGAATAACTAATGGAACCTCCGTTTCGCTATCAGTTCTTTAATAAAGTTCGACACTGGAAAGTCCAAACCGAAATTTCAAGACAGTAGGAATACACAAGTTGACCCTTTCAAGTATTAATAGTATCACTAATCCTAGACGTCTTAAGAATGTAACATTTAGGTTTGCTAATATAATGAAACAAAATCGTCGAAAATATGTCAGAAAACATATGGAAGTGATAGATAGATGCTGCAATCTTCTGCTTAATAAACGGTACAAGCATGTTTTATTTTCATTAGAGATGATTAACATTAACAAATAACAAATGATCAAGAATGGATTCAGTAAAAAATGAGAAGAATCAATGGGTCAACAATACAACACAGGCCGATTAATCCGAATCTGCAAATACTGTTTTGGTAGCTTTCTTTTGCTCTTCATTTTCAGATATTGTTTTTCTCAATTTCTTCTCAGGTGTGTTATCAGCTTCCTCAGCTGATCTCTGTAAAAACCGCTATTAACGATGATTGTTATATAATTTGAAATAAGCTTACTTTTAAATCACTTATATCTATCACAAGATTCCAACTAAATCTCAATGGACATTCAGTAGTTGAATTAATGAATTTATAGCAAAAAATGCCTTCTGAATGTTTACCTTTTCGCCTCGTGTCACACCATTCCGTGGACCATTTCGCCCTCGACCACGACCTCGAACCTTAGTTCCTCGTCGATTTTTTGCTATCCGTGCTTGCTTATCAGCTTTCTTTTTGCTGAAGTTATTCCAGTATTCTTCTTCTTCCTCACCCTCAAGCACAGTTCCCTTAAGCTCATTCCCACCAAACATAACTTTTCCATCTTCTCCTTTTTCTGTTGCTACCTTCCAAGCAATAGCAGCACCGTTTTCTTCACCACCAAAACGAATTTGAGCCTTAAAAAAAAAAATAATTATCCGAATCAAGAAATTGCGACATTATAAATAAAATTATTTGTCAAGCAATTGCAACATTAACCTCCTCGAGCAAAAGACATTGTTATTCCATGCCAAGTAAAAGTAAAAGTAAAAGCAAAAAGTCAAATAATTTACCTTTTCATCTCCCTTTTCGTATACAACATACTGAACATCGCCGAACTGTTTGAAAAAATCTTTAAGTTTTGCGAGATCGCAGTCCTCTTTTGGAATATTCTCCACTGATAGCACCAGTCCTCTGACAAAATGTACCATCTCCAGATTTTTTTTGGTCTCTGCTTCGACAGCCTTCTAAAAATAAAAAGAAAAAATTAAGACAAGAAATTTTTGACCGAACGACTTACTCATGTAAATTAGGGAGCTAGAAACCATATGGCACATATACGATGCAATAATTTAGCAACCTTTTTAGCTTGTTTAGCAGCACGAGCAGCAAGTCGTTTTTCTTTCAGCTCCTTTTGCTTATTCGCCCAGTAATCATTCCTTAAAATACACATTAATATGCAGGAGACTAGCCGCGTTTTTTATATACTCTTAAAAATTGACTTATCAATAATTTCAGCAGAGAAGTTGTGTATATGTACAGAATTACACAGAAAACACTAATAGGATAAAAATCTTACTGCATCATTTTCAATAGTTCATTGCCATTGAACTGTTTCGTATCGCTGTTAACAAAAGCTTCTGCTATCTCTTGATTTTTATAAGTGACGAACACTGAGCCTTTGAAAGCTCTCTTTTCTGATTTTTCACGTCGCATCATTACATTTTCAACACTACCAAATTGCTTAACGAAATTTAAAATGTCATCCAATTTTGTGTCTCGCCCGAAGCCTTTCTGAAAAGAAGCATGTGGTATTCATGTGTTATTTCATTAAAGCAGTAGAATAAAACGCGATAAAGTTATCCAGGATTAAGATACAAGCTTTTATCCAATTTAAAATAATCTCATTATTATTCGTCCAAATCCAAACGACATAAATTGGTACCAATAGAATTAGGATGACACCCTTTTATAGCTCGCAGGTTGTGTGGGTGAATATAATACAAGAAATATAAAAACGGAAATCTTACCTTGTTATGATAATAGTTTGCAACACAAACATAGTTTACTGAAAAAAAAAAAAAAGAAAACAACTTACAATATATACAGTACGCCGTTTCACAACTTGCCAATATTCGAGCGAATTTTCTGGTAATGGTGCTTCAGGATTACGTCGTATTTTACTACCATCTTCAGATACCTGTATCAGCTTAGAAAGCTTCAAAGACTCTCCGATTATTTTGGGATCGGAAGAAATCTGTGCCAAGCGTTTAAATTTTAGCATTGTTGTAAGCTGGACCCCTAAATGCAAAAAAAAAAAAAAACATCTAGACAGAAATTCACTTCACCTTTAATATATTTCGATGTAGTTCAATTAAATATACTTCACGTTATTACCTGTCTTGAATTAAAAAAAAAAAAAAAGAATACTGTGTGTATAATACTATGACTTGTCAAAGTTAAGAAATATATATTTAGTTTTTGTAAGTCCATAGACGCAACAGAATTACTCACACCCGTCATCTTTCTTGATTTCTTCCTGTAGAAATCGATCTCGAGGTAAATTGATATCGCCAAAATAATACTGAAGTTAAAGATAATTACGGGATGAAATAAGTCCAAGAATATTCAATTTTAATTCATTTTTTCCTTATAAAACTACTGGTGTAATCTTGCTGTCAAAAATCTAAATCTACTTACTTCAACCTGTTCAATAATCTTCTGCTGAACATCCGTATTAGAACTGTTGTCAGCTACCATTTCTTTCAGATCTGTAACGTTATCGGAAGGTACAGTTACATCAGCATCACTGCTTTTCTCGCTATCTCCATTCTCATTTGTTATAGTTTTACTGCTAGCACTAGTAGTTAATTTTTCATTTTTCTGACTGTCAACTGCTTCTTGATCCTCCATAGAGATTAACTCTCCTCGAGATCCAAAAAAAAAAAAAGAAAAAAAAAAAACGTACAATGAAATGTACAACAAATCGCTTTGACACCAAAGTAAAATACTAAGTGCAAACAATGTGATTTAAATGAGCTAATTAAATAAATCGATCAATGAAATAATCTGATCAGTGAAAAAAACAAAAATGAATTATGCAAGATAAAAGTTATGGTTAAAGCAGAGTCAACATAGTACGAAATCATCTTTATAAACAGAAAAGTAGCGAATAAAATTGATCGGTGACCTATAACCTTAATTCCTAGACCACAATCCAAATAATTTACTTACAACTTACACAACCCTAAACCATCTCGCATCAGTCCAAAATAAAAATGTCAGACCAAGAAAAAAAATTGATATACCGAATGAAAGAAATCTTCTTTGGAGATCTAGAATATATAACAGCAGAATATTGCGCTTTTTGTTGTTACTAAGTGAGAATTAAAATTAATGAAGTTTATCAGTTCTTCTTGTATACAAACCTTGTAATTAACAACATTTTAGAGCTTTTAATTACCTTTTGACTAATGGTTTCATTTATGTTAGAAGTAAGTTAAACTAAGAAATGAAGTAAAAAGCTTTTAAGTGATATTAAAATTAATGAAATTTATCAGTTTTTCTTGTATACAAGTTAGGGCCTTTAATTATTTTCAATCAATCGTTTGACCAATTATGTAGTTACCTTAGCTTTTGGATGGCTGTTAGCAAATTACTTATGTTAGAAGTAAGTTAAACTAAGAAATGGAGTAAAAAGCTTTTTAGTAGAAAACAGAATACACCTTTAAAAAAGTGACTAATTAAAATATATATGGAAAAATGCAAAAGTGCGTGAGAGTGACACGTAAGCATATGTAATTGAGAATTTTCTAATAAGAGAGCAACAATTTGATCCCTAAGTAAGTAAGTAAGTAAGAAAAAAAAGTTAAAATTAAAGACTAATTATTTTCAAAGCATTGCACTATCGATTATGAGTGGCGCAATTTGCTAATAAATAATCATTAAACATAGTTTTTTAATTGTCATCGCTGTTCAATATTCAAATATTGTTAATTTAACCAAAGATAAGTAAGTAAGTAAGTAATTGATAAGGATGAAGTTGAAATTGAAATTAAAGTTGAAAAAGTGCTATCTTCAAAATCATTCAAACATAAATAATATATGTCTATAGATTCAATGGTAATTAATTCAGTTAAAAATGAATATATTTCATCATTCTTTTTCACAATAATTATTTTTACTAAAAAATTTAATTTTCTCTTTAAGGTATGCATACAATGAATGTCAAATGTGTATATCATAATTTTACAATATCTATTTTCAAATTTTTAATTTTAACAACAATTGCGCATAGCATTTTGCGCTTTCTGTATATTTTCATGATGAAAAAAAGAAAAGTATTTGATAAGAAAGCTATTGATAAGATAAGAAAAAATGCTATCTTCTCTTATGTTTATTAAAATGTATTTTTGAACAAATGAGTTGAAAATGTTAACGCTGCTTTGAAATAATCATTTCTACTAACACTTTTGCGCAGTCTTTTCTTCCTGCTCTGATCAACAGGTGTTCAGAGATTGACAGGTATTCAGAGATATGAAAAGAATCTTATCAGTAACTGCGTCAATTGAGGATGGTACAGTTACATTGCTGATCTGTTTTATATATTTCCATGATCTGTTGATATATTTCCATGATCTATTGATATATTCCCATGACCTATTGATATATTTGCATGACCTATTGATATATTCCGATAAAGTTCATTAAATCGTGCTACGAATTACCTTTTATTAAGCAGGTATTTCTCATTTCAAGACTGAAAAAGAAAGTGGCAACTAATGCTAATAACACTAAAGGTTTGTTGTAGTTAAAAAGATTGATAAATAAATAAATAAATAAATAAAGAGAGAGAGAGAGGGAGAGGGAGAGGGAGAGGGAGAGAAGGAGAAAGAGAGGATGCAAAATGATATTTAGCTAAGAAGGAGCAATCAACTTGATAACAACTGTTCCAACCTAAACTTATGTCCTTTTCTTTCAAAAATTACTGGACAATTGAATAAATAAATTTATCTCATTTTTTCTTTGTTTCGTTTCGTTTTCTTTTTTTTAGCCATAAAAATTGTGCAAAAATATAAAAGATAAATGCTCCTATTTTATTATGTTATACGCATTCTAAATTATTACTTAAAATTGCTTTCATTAATTATAAAATATATAGAATGAATTAATCATTGTAAAATTTGCATATTTGACAAAGTAAGAGATATCTTATTATGATTATTAATTATTACTAACATCATCATTATTATCATCCAAATTTTATAAAATTAAATTAATTCATTACAAAAAAAAAAAGTGACAAACCATTTTATATTATTCAAATTCATTTAATGAAAGAAAACAAATTTTTTTTTTTTTGGATACAGAATTATTCTAAATTGTATTATTATTATTATTATTATTATTATTATTATTATTGATATTATTATTATTATTATTGTTATTAATATTATTATTGTTGTTATTGTTGATATTATTATTATTATTATTATTATTATTATTATTATTATTATTATTATTATTATTATTATTATTATTATTATTGTTATTAATATTATTATTGTTATTAATATTACTATTGTTATTATTATTATTATCGTTATTATTATCAATATTATTATTATTATTATTATTATTATTATTATTATTATTATTATTATTATTATTATCATCATCATTATTATTATTATTATCAGTATTATTATTATTATCAATATTATTATTATTATTATTATCAGTATTATTATTATTATTATCAATATTATTATTATTATTATAATTTCTGATTAAGAGATTTCAATTATTTAATATGACGCAGTATGCTTTTAGCGTTGAGTAAATTTTTATCAAATTATCAACTACATTTGAAAGTAAATGTCACTAATAATAGAAAATTCGATTTAAATTGTCTACAAGTGAAATCACCAATTGCTGCATTTATTTGATAAGATATAAATCATTTCTTTTGCATGAGAATGGTGCAACTCTGTTCGTTTTCACAATTCCTTCATCCTTTTTAACTTTTTTTTTCTTCTTAACATTCTGCTGTCTTCTAAGCTTTTAGTCTTATTTATTGATTATAAAAATTTCAAAAAAAAAAGTGAGCAGAAATTTTCACTTATGATTTCATAAATGCGTTTTTTTATTTTTTTATTTTTTGATTTGTTTATTTGTTTGTTTGATTTGTGATTATTTACTTATTGTTATGATATATTGTTAAAGTCTAGACAATATTATGATGTCGATGCATTTAATTTAATATTAGCAAAGATTTGTTCAATAATTGAAATTGAATAGCAGAAAAAGAGTGATAGTGAGAAGATTGAAAAGTGAAAAGAAGCATTTTTACTTTTTCACTCTAAACATTTCGTTCTTGCAATCTGTCTAAAATGTGCAATTTATCTCAGCTAAAGCTTTAAAAATGCTTATTTTCTTAGCATAAACTATTATTTTACTTTTATTATAGCTGACTCAATTTTCATTTCCTTTTTTTTTTTTTCTTTTCTTTTCTTTTCTTTTCCTGCTAAATTATCACTGAGATTTCAAGTTGATTTAAAATGGAAGAGTAATCATTTAAATTTGTTTATTGATTATACACAATCAAGAATATCCTAAGATCGATCTATCTTTTTTTCAAGAATAATTTTATCATTTTTTTTCGCTTTTTTTCTGAATAAAATTGTAATCAGTTATCAGTTATCATGTTATAAAAAAAAAGTTAGCATATGTGCTTCCAGTGAAAATGTCAAACAAATGTATAAAAGCATTTCTATAAACATCTAAAAAATTATCAATCATTTTTTTTTTTTTTTTCTTAAATTACTGGTTGATTTATTTGACAAATGAGTTTCAGACAGATAGCTTAAAATCTAGAATATTCTTGTCTAAAATTTACTTAAAAATAGAAAAATTATCTTAATACATTCTATTTTTATCATCGAAAATATAAAAGAAAGTCATTTCAAATTTTTTTAAAATGAAAAGAAATAATAATTTATAAATTTTGTATTTAAATTAAAAAAAAAAAAAAATCTATGAAATATAAAAACGGTTTAGTAGGCATTGAAGCTTATTTGTAATAAAATTAGAGTCTTTTGATTAAATATTTTTTTAATATCTGTGATACTTTTAAACTTTTAACAAATTCCTCATCGATTTTTTCCTATTTTTTTGTTCAATTTAGCAATAACATAAATGGTATATCATTTTTTCATAATTTTTTAAAATTACTTTTGATAAAGTTTAAGAAAATACGACATAACTTATCGGCGAATTTGTTTACAAAATGTGCTAAAAAAAATTACAATAAAAAAAGTAGGAAAAAAAAGAGTTTTAAATTTTTACAATTATTTCAGTGTTATTTGTTTGAATGATAGAAAGAATCATTTAAAAAAAAGAAAAAAAAAAGTGTAAATAGCTATAAATGAAAAAATGAAACAAATTACAGTGAAAAACCAAAGTTTTTCCCAAAAATTCTTTTCAGAAATTAATTATTTTTCAAATTTTCAGATTCATATTAAGCTTATTTTTTTTTTTTTTAATGAAAACCTTATTATATATGATTTATTATTATTTTTTAAATAATAAATATTCATTTTAAACTAATCTATTTGTATGTGATTGTTAATTAGCTAAAGCTTCAAATTCTTAATTTGAACCTGAAAACCTGAAATGTCATTTGCAATATTCGTTTAAAAATTGTTTTTAGCAATTTCATTAATGCTAATGATGTATGTTTAAAAGAGAAGTAAATTTTGTTGCCAAATTGAATTACTTTTAGACCGTAGTGTAGACCGGAGTTCGATGTGAGTTGTCCTGAAAGCTAACCGGTTTTTTCGATATATTCTTCTGGTATTACGAAACAAAACCTTTTCCTTTTTTTTTTTTTTTTATTTTTGTTATTAAATTGA